AAACTAGTTGTGTTTCAAGTAACCCACCCAACAAACCTATTGTTTTGTTTGAAGCCCAAATGGTTTTATTAAGGCTGGAAACCGTAAAATAATCCATGTGTTTCACTCGGAAACAAATTAATGCTGCAGCTATTTAGACCTACAATTTGAGAAACATCACAGCTGACCTCAATTCTATACAAGCCACCTGTGCTAAAAGGTATATAAAAATATATTAATAAAAAAATATGCCCACCCCCCCGTACTGAGCTGTTGAGGCCATGTTAACTGAAAAAACGCATACCGTATTCGACGTAATAAGCGCCCCGCTCTAATAAGCGCCCATGGCGATATTTGCTAATATATTGGCTCGTGAACAATCCCAATTAGCACCCCTTCCGATTGATCAATGTACACAATACTTATTTATTCGCTTATAATACTCACTCGTGTGTTAAATGCACCCTTAAGTATGGGCAATTAAATTTTGGAAAAATATATCTCTCCTATATAAACATTTCAGGCTATCAGCATAAACCATGACATTTATCTTTCAACTGTTTTTTTTGACAAAGTAATATTCTAATAAGAGCCCGCTATTTCTAATTTTGAGAGCGCCCTGGGCGCTTATTACGTCGACTACGGTATATTTTTTGGCCTAATCTGGAAAACCTTGGTAAGGTATGGTCCAGATTAGGTTTCACTGCAATCCAGTTGCACGTTTCAGTGACGTTCTCCCATCAGAATCTGCTTGTTAGGAAACACATGACATTTTTTTCTGAAGCAATTACACCATTCAAAAAGGATGCGTGTATCCTGAATCACTGATTGTCAGTCTCCTCAGCTACACATGGTGGGATAGCTTAGTAGTTCAAGCATCCACCCGCCACTTTGAAAACTAATTTGATTACAGACATGGGTGGGGACGTTTATTCTGGAATCGCAGTGTTACGTCCAGCTGGTCACAATTCAGATGGGTCAGGTTCTGAGATGAGGTAAACTGGTATGTTTTGATGGTGTTATGAGAGTATTTGTTGTTGGACAATTCTGGGTCGAACATAATGTGATAGTGTACAGAATTTGTGAGGCACAAGTAAAGACTGATAGTGTAAAATAAAAGTTCAAACTAGCTTTGTGTGATGTTATTTGTGCAATGCAAATCAGGACCTGGGCCCACTTGCACAAAGCGATCTTAGCGCTAAGACGATTGTAACTCCCATACATTAACATAGGCATACAATAGTCTTAGCGCTAAGATCGCTTTGTGCAAGTGGGCCCGGAACAGTTGTAGCAGATTTCAGCTCATGCAATCTGAAGGACGTCAGAATAATCTCAGTGCAACATGTCCAGAGTGGCCATACTTTTCTTTTCAGGGAACTGCCTCCATGGCTAAGTAGTAGAGCTTACGTCTGGAGAGCAGAAGGTCCAGGGTTCGATCTTCGGCCGCGCCATACCAAAAGACGTTAAAAGATGGTACTTGTTGTTGCCCTGTCTGACGCTCGGCATAAGGGGCTAAAACAGGGATGGTCAGCCCGGAGTGTGTCTGAGCAGAGTATTCATGTAAACTGTGGCAAGATATCAAATTGGCTAGCCCTATAAGAAACGGCATCAGTCCGGACTTGTACAAGAAGCCACACACACAAACACATGTCTATATGTGCAATAATCTTACAGGCGATGCTAATCCCCATTTCACCTCATCACCTCGCATTTTCTTTTCAGGACACACTTCTGTATCTGTCATTCCTGTGTTGACCCACAAAAGGATCTGTGCTCATGATATCAGCCTTTTGTTTGATTAGGTGCTCAGGCTGGTTGATTGCCAGTCATCATACAGGAAACGTAATGTCAATTGATTGTCTGATCAAGGCTTATTTACAGACAGACGTTGTATAGCTGGAATATTGCTAAGTGAAGCTTAAACAACACACAAACAAATCATAGCAAACATCATTAGGCACATTGCTCATCATATCAATCACTAGTTTGTCCGACCCGGGCTCTATTATTTTAATTTCCAGTCTGGGAGAAGTGTCGCAAATGCTGCTGGGAATACTGCTGACCGGTGCATAAAATAACATTCATTCAGAATTGTTTAAAAAAAGAATCACTTTATCCATTTACCATGTTTACTAGTTTATGAATTATTTGCAATATTAACTTAAGAAGTAAAGGAGTTATTTACTGTAACTGAATGTTGTTTTACGCTACAGGAAACACAATTCCAGCTATAACAGTCGGCTAGCAAACTAAAACAAAACTAAACAAACAAGTGTCGGTTACTGGTGACCTATTCTATAAACCAGGATTCCCTGTCAGGTTATTTTATATCAAACCAAGGAACAGACGTAATAATGTAACATAGTTTCGTAAACTTCGGACGACGCTCACTCATTTCAGAAAAACAAATCTTTTAGATTTTCGTCTTTCGATCGACGGATCCAAAAGCGCAAAAAAACCTTTTCACAATCTCGGAACTGAAACGCGAGCTATATTTACGAAGGGATGAAATGGAACTTGCTTTGAAAAGTCCGGTTCTGCATTGATTATAAATGACGCGACACTGATATGTTATCCGGCTTTAACCGTTTTATCGTTAGCTAAAATTATCTGGCGAATAAACAAACAACCGTCGTTTAACCTGAACGATAACGCGTGCTTTGAGAGCATGCCCCAGGCCCTGCCAACCCAAGGCCCCCGTACATTTGTAACATAATTGAATTGAGAAATGATAAATAAGACCCAACCTTTGATATGTGTATTCTCGTATTTCTAGCCCAAGAAAACTGCAGTCCAATAAATGGATAAAAACATTCAGTTTCATTTATATATTAAACTAATCTATTAAGACGCATCTAAATAACGCTGTAATGAGGTATGCCATTTGGTGTTGTTTTGCAGTCCGATAAATGGATAAAAACATTCAGTGTCATGTATATATACTACTCAAAAGAAGTTAAACAACACCTAGTTTTTTCATCTGGCAAGGCTGGTGGGTACTACAACACATGACCTTCAAACTCTGTGTGTTCCTAAACTTGTTTTGTGTAGTATATTAAACTAATCTATTAAGACGCATCTAAGTAACGCTGTAATGACGTATGCCATTTGGTGTTGTTTCTTTGTTGTTTAACGCCACCCTCAGCAATATTCCAGTTATGCGAAGGCGTCTGTAAATACCTTAACTGAGTCTTGACCAGACAATCCAGTGATTGACATCATGAGCATCGATCTACGCAATTAGGATACGATGACATCCATCAACCGTGTCAGCGAGTCTGACCACCCGATCCGGTTAGTCGCCTCTTACGACAAGCATTACACTGTATAACATAATGTATACATGATATAACAATGCATATGATATAACAACCATGGGTTGCTGAAGAACTATTCTAACCCGGATGTTCAAGGGGTATGCGTTGCGTGAGTTGCTGCAGATATAAGTCCTGCGGAGATTACCCAACAGACATAGTGTAAAGTCCTGCGGAGATTACCCAACAGACATAGTGTAAAGTCCTGCGGAGATTACCCAACAGACATAGTGTAAAGTCCTGCGGAGATTCCCCAACATACATAGTGTAAAGTCCTGCGGAGATTACCCAACAGACATAGTGTAAAGTCCTGCGGAGATTCCCCAACAGACATAGTGTAAAGTCCCGCGGAGATTCCCCAACAGACATAGTGTAAAGTCCTGCGGAGATTCCCCAACAGACATAGTGTAAAGTCCTGCGGAGATTTCTTAACAGACATAGTGTAAAGTCCTGCGGAAATTACCCAACAGACATAGTGTAAAGTCCTGCGGAGATTCCCCAACAGACATAGTGTAAAGTCCTGCGGAGATTCCCCAACAGACATAGTTTAAAGTCCTGCGGAGATTTCCCAACAGACATAGTGTAAAGTCCTGCGGAGATTCCCCAACAGACATAGTGTAAAGTCCTGCGGAGATTCCCCAACAAACATAGTGTGAAGTCCTGCGGAGATTCCCCAACAAACATAGTGTAAAGTCCTGCGGAGATTCCCCAACAGACATAGTGTAAAGTCCTGCGGAGATTCCCCAACAAACATAGTGTGAAGTCCTGCGGAGATTCCCAAACAAACATAGTGTGAAGTCCTGCGGAGATTCCCAAACAAACATAGTGTGAAGTCCTGCGGAGATTCCCCAACAGACATAGTGTAAAGTCCTGCGGAGATTCCCCAACAAACATAGTGTGAAGTCCTGCGGAGATTCCCCAACAAACATAGTGTAAAGTCCTGCGGAGATTCCCCAACAGACATAGTGTAAAGTCCTGCGGAGATTCCCCAACAAACATAGTGTGAAGTCCTGCGGAGATTCCCCAACAAACATAGTGTGAAGTCCTGCGGAGATTCCCAAACAAACATAGTGTGAAGTCCTGCGGAGATTCCCCAACAGACATAGTGTAAAGTCCTGCGGAGATTCCCCAACAAACATAGTGTGAAGTCCTGCGGAGATTCCCAACAGAATAGGTCCCCTAGCTTATACATGCTTGTAAGATTCGACCTAGCTGATATATATTGTGTCTAGATATAATTTACCCCAAAGGCCAGGATAGATGCTCATGATGTCAGCCACTGGTTTGCCCAGTCAACACTCTATTATTTGCAGTGCCCAGTGATAGCTATTATTACTCACTCTTCTATTCTGACTGAAAAATCAACGTTTGTTATACGAAAAAAAACATGTTCGTATAGTTAAAAACAAATTTTAACCAGGTTAAAATGTGTGAGACACCGTGTGTAGACATAATTATTATTATGTAATAACGCTTGATAATTATGTAATTTTGTAACAGGTTGACAGTTACGATGTTTATATGTAAGGTCAACTTCATAAAACACCTTTATAATAACGGTAGAAGTATGTAAACAACTCAAAAATTAAAGGAACAACCCAAATTAATAGAATTATAATGAAGAACCATTTTCTTGTTTCTGTTAGATAAGATTCCAAATGGTCGAATTATTAAAATTATCCAGCGTGGGAAACCCGCACCTGCACGTGCTTATCACCTGGCCCTCGGTGAATCACAAAGCACCGTTGTTCTGGTGGACAAATGGCGACTCATGTCGATATAAGAAGGTTGGATGTATTTTCCTGAGAATCTTCTACATTGGATGCAATTGTTTATAAAAGGTAGGAGCGTTTTGCTGCTGTATTTTGAGACCGTTTCCTTGTGTGTTGTTACGTGGCTTTGTCTGTTATCTACATGGCCAAACAAAACACATCTGACACTTGTGATGAAAGGATATATATAGCGTTGTAATCAGGACAGGATATGTTGTAGACGAGGCAGTTAGGAGAGAGCGATTGTAACAATGGAATGGAACTCTTTAGAAAGTAATGCGGGCGTGTAGGTGAGGGTGATGGGTGGTGGTCGTGTGCTCTGGTGACGGGGTTCTATGTTTGTCAGCACCATACCCGTGCTCGTAGTAAACGACCTGCATCACTTCGGACTTTCCTCCCACATTAAGCTGACACGCCGTGATATAACTGGAATACTGTTCAAAGCGGCGTAAACTCACTCACTCACTCACTCACTCACTCACTCACTCACTCACTCACTCACTCTATAAGATTGCTGCATCATCCCAATGGGGATGCAGCCCGATGCAAAGTCTCTATGTGAACAGTCATGGTTTTGTCAAGAGGATAAGGGATCTACAATACATGCTCGGAGCCCCTGTAAAATGTTCGTCTTAAAGATTGATATTTTATCTGTTTTCACTCATAAAGAAATATTCTTTCTATATTCAGATCCACATTCAGAATCTACATGAGACTATAATAAATTTAAATATCATATAAACCCGCCACCTCACGACCAAATGTACACCCGGTCTCACATAATTGTAGTCAAATACCAACAGGCGATGAAAACGGCTGTTCTCCCTTCTTTCTTCAGTTGGTGAAATACGCCATTGTGCAAAAATCATATAGACTTTGTGCATGTGAATTATGCTCGATGTGCAAGAAAGAAGATGAATATCGTTACATTAGAATACCCACGTTATAACGTGGATAGAACAGAAACCATCGACCTCGTTACGTCCGCAATACCAAACTTTCTTAAATTAGGAAAAGATAGACAAATGAATCATTTACTTGATAGTAAATCACAGTCTGTTAAACAAAATATAGCTAGATATATTTACTCAAGTTTTGATCTAAGGAGATGCCCCAAAACTTATATATGTATAATATGTCCATCTTTGTATATACTCATTTAGCATTGTTGGCACAAATAACTAACAGTATAGTTGTATTGTATTGTATTGTATTGTATTGTATTGTATTGTATTGTATTGTATTGTATTGTATTGTATTGTATTGTATTGTATTGTATTGTATTGTATTGCATTGTATTAATGTTCCTTCTAACCATTATTCGACCGGTGAAGATCCGGGGTAGAATAGATCTTCAGCGTAACTGTTGTATTGTATTGTATTGTATTGTATTGTATTGTATTGTATTGTATTGTATTGTATTGTATTGTATTGTATTCTATTCTATTCTATTAATGTTCCTTCTAACTATTATTCGACCCGTGAAGATCCGGGGTGTCAATTAGATCTTCAGCAACACATGCTTGCCGTAAAAGGCGACTATGCTTGTCGTAAAAGGCGACTAACGGGATCGGGTGGTCAGGCTCGCTGACTTGGTTAATGCATGTCATCGATCCCAATTGCGTGGATCGATGCTCATGATATTAATCACTGGATTGTCTGGTCCAGACTCGATTATTTACAGACCGCCGTCATATAGCTGGAATATTGCTGAGTGCGGCGTTAGACAACAAACCAACAACAACAACAATCTAACCATTATTCATTAACTACCCAGCTAACGCCCATTGTGTCACTGACGAGAATGTGCAGAAATGTTCAACGTTTTCCTTGTTTTCAACAGAACTGCTGTTTAAACGAACATATTTTTTGAAACTGCTACAAAAACATATTTATCTCAGCCATGAACCGACAACACATATATCATCCAGGCCATTCGTGACAATATTTGCTTTGTCAGGTTAAATATCTTCAAAATATCTGGCTGTAAATATCAATATATCAAATCTTTCCGTTTGCATAAATATGCGCCCATCTAAATTCTATATACCTTATCAGAACAATAAATTTTATCTCCTGCAATTGACGTCACTCAAGAACGTCAAATGTACTCTTATACATGCTGAATATCACGTCTAACATTCCCCAAGTCGTTACTAATATCGGCGCCATCACGATAAACCTCATAAAACAGTTGCAATGATAATCTTAATGTTACATGTTGAGTATCCATTAGCAAGGCTTTTGACCTTGACCTTGCAGGGTTGAACGCGTCCGTGTACAATGGCGGCGTCGGGGACTGACGTGTCCTGTCAGCATACCATCACTTTACAAGACTTCACGCACTTCGCTGTAGGTCCCGCGGTAAGTCAAGAGGGTATCAACAACCATTGATGCATGATCAGAGATAGGTCACATCAGCGTACGGCTTCCGAGGTCTCTGAGTGTCTAGTGTTTCTAGTTTGTGTTCGGAGTGGCTGGATAATGTACCCACCCTTTTCTTATCTCACACTGTGTACGGAGGGGTGGGGACGGGGGTGCGGGGATGGGAGATGAAGGGGTGTGGTTTTTTATGTAACAGTTTCAATGCATACACTTTTTTTTTGGTTGAGGGGCGGGGGGAGAAGCAACAATGTTGTTTGGAACTCACAATATATCACTACGGAAACGTATTAATGCCACATTCTTAATAAAATATCACCTGCGTAGATGGTATTTACATCTACGTAGACCATGCTTACATCTGCGTAGATGATACTTTTATCTTAAATATGTTTGATAATATAAGCGTGAGTATCGTTGCTCAGACAGTGATATTGTTTGATGGAAGGTGATACGTACATTGTAGATGGGAGTATCATATAGATGTAAGTATGATCTACGTAGATGTAAGTATGGTCTACGTAGATGTAAGTATGATCTACGTGGATGTAAGTATGGTCTACGTAGATGTAAGTATGATCTACGTGGATGTAAGTATGGTCTACGTAGATGTAAGTATGATCTACGTAGATGTAAGTATGGTCTACGTAGATGTAAGTATGATCTACGTGGATGTAAGTATGGTCTACGTAGATGTAAGTATGATCTACGTGGATGTAGGTATGGTCTACGTAGATGTAAGTATGATCTACGTAGATGTAAGTATGGTCTACGTAGATGTAAGTTAAACTACGTAGATGTAAGTATGGTCTACGTAGATGTAAGTATGGTCTACGTAGATGTAAATATCATCCACGTAGATATTGGTTTTAGAATGTGGCACTAATACGCTTCCTTACATCACATATATAACTTTCTGGACCATCTTCTTTCAAACAAAACCCCACTCCTAGTCCAGCACCATGACTGTGGCATATATTTGTTTTGTGAAAGTAAAACCAATCTAGATTATACACAAGCAAGTCTTGCCAGCTGAACATGAAATCAGCATCACGAAAAAAGGATTCAGAGAAGAGAAACGTATTGTGTAATAAATGATTTCATAGATTTGTCTGTGTAAGTCTACCCCACTCCGTGTGACCTGTCACTGTTAGCCATGTTCACTTGTAAGCCATGTTCACATGCCGGAGACCCGGGTTCGATTCAACCCGGGTTCAATTTGTGAGTGAGTGAGTGAGTGAGTTGGGTTTGGCGCCGCTTTGACCAATAATTCAGTTACATCACGCCGTGTCAGCTAATGGGCCTTCTGATATTGCACAAATACATGTAATGAAATAACAAATGAAATATGAAATCTTGAACTAGAAAATATGTGTCTGTGTGAAAGCATACTTTGACTCCAATGATTTCGTCGTTTGTTTCTTTGTTGTTTAGACCGCCTCCGTGGTCTAGAGTTAGAGCGTCCGCCCGGGGAGCGGAAGGTCCGGGGTTCGATCCCCGGCCGCGTCATACCAAAAGACGTTAAAGGATGGTTCTTGTTGTTACCCTGTCTGGCGCTCGGCATTAAGGGGCTAAAACAAGGACCGGTCGGCTCGGAGTCAGTATACTGTGTCTGAGTGGGGTATTCATGTTAAACTGCGGCATGGCATCTCAGTGAGCTAGCACTATAAATCGGCATCAGTCCGGACTAGTACAAGCAGCCACACAAACACACACACACACACGTATTTGTGAGTGAGTGAGTGAGTGAGTTGGGTTTGGCGCCGCTTTGACCAATAATTCAGTTACATCACGCCGTGTCAGCTAATGGGCCTTCTGATATTGCACAAATACATGTAATGAAATAACAAATGAAATATGAAATCTTGAACTAGAAAATATGTGTCTGTGTGAAAGCATACTTTGACTCCAATGATTTCGTCGTTTGTTTCTTTGTTGTTTAGACCGCCTCCGTGGTCTAGAGTTAGAGCGTCCGCCCGGGGAGCGGAAGGTCCGGGGTTCGATCCCCGGCCGCGTCATACCAAAAGACGTTAAAGGATGGTTCTTGTTGTTACCCTGTCTGGCGCTCGGCATTAAGGGGCTAAAACAAGGACCGGTCGGCTCGGAGTCAGTATACTGTGTCTGAGTGGGGTATTCATGTTAAACTGCGGCATGGCATCTCAGTGAGCTAGCACTATAAATCGGCATCAGTCCGGACTAGTACAAGCAGCCACACAAACACACACACACGTACATGCACGTCGCTATATAAGTGCAATAATCTTGGACGCCACGTTAAACCCCATTTCACCTCACCTTTGTTGTTTAACGCCGTACCAACGCTTTTAACTGTAATTCACTTCTGTCACTACTTGTCAGTCTAATGGCTGAGGATAGGCAACAGCGATATCTCAGACATTACCCCACTGTGTATGACTCTGCTCCTCAACCCTCACTTTATAGTTGAATTAAACTCAAAATGCATCGCGCACACATTGCGTATATATACTGCGGGAAATTCTCTGTTCTGTGATAGTGTCCGCGTTGTAGGTTAACGCTATTGTTTGTTTGTTGTTCAACGCCGCACTTAGCAATATTCCAGCTATATGACGGTGGTCTAAAATATAATCGAGTCTGGACCAGACAATCCAGTGATTAACATCACGAGCATCGATCTACGCAATTGGGATACGATGACATGCATCAACTGGAGGTTTAAGCCTTAGTTCCCCAAGCCAAAGGTCGGGTTCGAATCTACACTCGTAGTTGTACTTTCTATTACACGCTACATCAGTTCAAGATCCCGTTAGCCGCCCCTTACGGCAGGCGTGCGTTGCTGAGGACCAGATCTATAACCCTGATCTTCAAGGGCAGAATCCAATGCATCATATTCTGTTTATTTTCGCTTCAGCTGTTCATCATCTTCATCCTGAGTCTCCTGGAGAAGAGGCGGAACGCAAAACGATGTCGATGTTTCGGAGACAGGCCCGGCCTACTGGTGTAAGACAATTTATATCTTAAAGTGAGTGAGTTTGATTAACGCCGCTTATAACAGTATTTCAGTAAAATCAAGGCGTAAGCATCTGAGGAATAAACTGATGCAGCTATCAGACGTTTACCGCTCTAGTAAAACCCACGAGCACGGAAATGGTGCAAATCACAAATCTAGGATTCGAACCCACGACTCCGGTGCGACTAAGGAATTTAACTCTTCACAGTTAGCATGTGTATGGAATCCCTAGAATGGACATTTTCGCGTTGTCGCTCTTTGGGAAATTTGGAAATTTTTGCTTGTTTTTGTAATGGCGACAACGCAACAATGTCCCTTCTAAGATTCCATACATGTGTCACGGTTAAGTCGAACAAGAACTGCTTCATTGTTTATAATACCATTAATTGGTGCTAGATATACACTCCTTGGCCCTATAATCAGCACTTAATGTATACGAACATTGGGTTATTATCTTTAAACTAGTTTTATATGTTACGAAATGAGCACCCAATCATATAGAAGGGATGCACGGTCATTATTTCCAGCGATTAAGGTTAGAGTAAACTACGGTTATAACGATCTCGAAGGGACCACTAATTTTAGTTCGTAATAACCGTAGTTCGTTTCAAGCATATAAACAGCATGTATACAACAAATGGTCGGGACTAAAAATAAGTTCGTTATATCGGTCAGTTCATTATAAGCGTGTTCGTTATAATAGTAGTTAACTGTATCTACAACGCTGAGAACGAGAGTTGATTCCAAGGCGCCAACATGTACCAAGCTAACCTATATCCTGATACAAGGCACTCTGATAGAGTCCCTTCATACAAGACCGCCTCCGTGGTCTAGTGGTAGAGCGTCCGCCCGGAGAGCGGAAGGTCCGGGGTTCGATCCCCGACCACGTCATACCAAAAGACTTTACCCTGTCTGGCGCTCGGCATTAAGGGGCTAAAACAAGGACTGGTCGGTTCGGAGTCAGTATACTGTGTCTGAGTGGGGTATTCATGTTAAACTGCGGCATGGTATCTCAGTGAGCTAGCACTATAAATCGGCATCAGTCCGGACTAGTACAAGCAGCCAGACAAACACACACACGTACATGCACGTCGCTATAGAAGTGCAATAATCTTGGACGCGACGTTTAACCCCATTTCACCTCACCTCCCTTCATAAACCCTCCAGGAACACAGGGCGCAACTTAGAGTGAGTGAGTTGGGTTTAACGCCGCTTTGAACAGTATTCCAGTTATAGTGAGTGAGTATGGTTTTACACCAGAAATGTATTCAAGTTATATCACGGCGTGTCAGCGTAATGTGGGAGGAAAGTTCGAAGGGATGCAGGTCTCAGACGTTTACCACTTTGGTGAAACCCACGAGCACGGGTGTGGTGCTGACAAACCTAGAAACATAATTAGGGTGAGAACCGGGATTCGAACCTACGATTATAGGTTTCTGATGTGTCCAGGGGACACAACTCTGCACAGAGAATTGCGGCGCCTTAGACGACTGGGCCACCCGTGCCCTCTGCAGCCTGAAGGTTTAAGCCTTAGTTCCCCAAGCCAAAGGTCGGGTTCGAATCTACACTCGTAGTTGTACTTTCTATTACACGCAACATCTGTTCGTTTTCATGGTGCGACTGAGTCGGTAGGGCTTTGTGCCATTTGTTATCCTTATACCCGCCACATTCGGGTTAGAATAGGTCTTCAGCAACCCATGTTTGCCGTAAAAGGCGACTATGCTTGTCGTAAAAGGCCAGGCGACTAACGGGATCGGGTGGTCAGGCTCGCTGACTTGGTTGATGCATGTCATCGGTTCCAATTGCGTGGATCGATGCTGATGATATCAATCACTGGATGGTCTTGTCCAGACTCGACTATTTACAGACCGACGTCATAGAGCTGGAATATTGCTGAGTGCGGCGTTAAACAACAAACAAACAAAACAAACAAACCAATCACGGCTGGAAACCCAAAAGTGAATCGATCCCGGGCTATCGGTAAAATGATCACAGCCAAGACAGTTTTTGGACTAATGGGTTTCTTGATGTAGAATTGGTTAAAACGGGACGTGTTATGTAAACAATTGAAATAATTTTAAAAAATCAGTTGAAATAAAACAAACATGCAAATCTAGTTTATTTACAGAGGATGTACAGTAAAAATATGTAATTAAATCATTGAGAAAGCTTCATAACACAAATATCTTGAAAATGAGGTTTTTTCTTAAGTCAGTATTTTTAGCAGAAATGTCAAAAACCTATTCGTATTCCGGAAACTGTCGAGTGTTAATGGAGTTGTCATCACGTGACCTGACGTCATAGTGGAGAGTTGGCTTGCAGACGATCACTGTTTCTGTATAGTGTTTGGTAAATTACTAGCCTCCGCCATAGCATCACCAGACAATGACACCGATGAAAACGTTAAGTTTTCACTCAATAACCTGACACATATTCGTCCATATCAATATGAGCTAGCGGTTGTCATGACAGCGAGGAAAACGAGTAGATCCATCGAGTAAAGACAATCAATTAGATGTCAACACGCAAAGACGAGGGAACAAAATCTTGTAATAAACGTTATCCTGACTTTTCTAAATAAAATGGATGTTTATCTAATTAGAAAAAAAATGTAAGACAGTTATTCTTGTATAAAATGTGCCAACATTGTTGATTGCGTTGTTTTTATGCTGAACAATTAGCATAGGACTGAGGCTTAATGTGTTTTCAACACGAGTGAATGATGTTATGTATCAATTGTATAATTGTCTAGTGATAGTTGTGTCCTTGAATGGCATTTAGAAGTGATTAAGATAAGGAAGAGAATTTATGGATGTCAACTTCTTTATTATGAGGAACAAAACATTTCCAAGAATAAACTTACTCCTTCATCAGGTGAATAAATGCTATGAAGCAGAGAACATATATATGTACATCTAAGAACAACAAAAGTAATATGATAACAAAGTTGGAAACTAAACAAGTGAAGCCTTAACAAGGGAAGCCAACCGTCTATTGGCGCTGATAGGTGATTAGCAATGGACAAATGGAAGCAAACACTTAACAGTTGATTAGCGCTGATAGGTGATTAGCAATGGACAAATGGAAGCCAAAACTAAACAGTTAATTAGCGCTGATAGTGATTAGCAATGGACAAATGGAAGCCAACACTTAACAGTTAACTAGCGCTGATAGGTGATTAGCAATGGACAAACGGAAGCCAACACTTAACAGTTAATTAGCGCTGATAGGTGATTAGCAATGGACAAATGGAAGCCAAAACTTAACAGTTAATTAGCGCTGATAGGTGATTAGCAATGGACAAATGGAAGCCAACACTTAATAGTTAATTAGCGCTGATAGGTGATTAGCAATGGACAAATGGAAGCCAACATGTAACAGTTAATTAGCGCTGATAGGTGATAGCAATAGACAAATGGAAGCCAACACTTAACAGTTAAATAGCGCTGATAGGTGATTAGAAATGGACAAATGGAAGCCAACATGTAACAGTTAATTAGCGCTGATAGGTGATTAGCAATGGACAAATTGAAGCCAACACTTAACAGTTAATTAGCGCTGATAGGTGATAGCAATGGACAAATGGAAGCCAACACTTAACAGTTAATTAGCGCTGATAGGTGATTAGCAATGGACAACTGGAAGCCAGGACTCAAATTATCACTGATTGATAAGAGGTAATGGACAATGGAGAAACGCGTGTTTTATTGTATCCCACTCGTCGTTTATTTTTTAAGTAGACAAAATGAAATGGCGTGGACTCGCCACTGTGACGTCACAGCTGCAGCTCGGCCTGTAGCATTCATGACCAACTCCATTCGTGACCAACTCGTGTTATTCCGGGACAAGCCGAATAGTCTCCTTTCAGGTTACGGAAAGAGGCGAGTGGTGACGAATGGACCAACTCGTGTTATTCCGGATCCGGGACAAGCCGAATAGTCTTCTTGCTGGTTACGGAAAGGGGCGAGTGGTGACGAATGGGCCTGTAGCGGGATTTCGATACGCATACACGCTGGTTTGGGGATCAGGGGAGTTTTTTTAAGATAACAATGACATGACATTGGACTTTTATTTTGGTGTTAATATGTACTTTGTGTGACTATTTAACTTGTTTGTTTATTATTCAAAAGATTTCCTTTAAATACTGTATTTTCCATGGGAAGTAAATTCATATTATCAGAGACCATATACCGATATATAACCTACCCGGAAAAGTCCGCATCTTCTGTGCCTTTGTCAATCTACCAACTGCCGAGGTGACCAGTCCCAGCTCTAATGGAACCATCTCAGTTCACATGTGAAAGAAGCAGAAACTCGGTCCCGTCTCAAGACATTCCTGTTCAGACTCTTTTATCAAATTTAAAACCAACAACAACTGCCACATCTTGTCTTGTATCTATAGCCTATTATCAGTAGAGTGGCGGTCGGGTAGCCTAGTGGTTAAAGCGTTCCCTTGTCACGCCGAAGACCCGGGTTCGAATCCCGACATGGGTACAATGTGTGAAGCCCATTTCTGGGGTCCCCCGTCCTTATTTGCTGGAATATTGCTAAAAGCGGCGTAAAACCATACTCACTCACTATCGTGATGAGCTCATCTCGGTGACACGTGACGTCTGACAAGAGAGGTAGATACCCTCGATGTATGCGTGTGTACATAGGTCATAGGTGTAGCGCTTAATGCCATAATGATTGTAGGCCCACTGTCAGTCCTATCTTACCTGTCAACACATACAAGGTATGCGAGACAATGGTGGGCCATGTCAGACCGTGTCAGACTGATAGCGATGTACAATGACCTATGCGTTCATCACTAGGTCACACCTGGCAGTGTCAATCACGGTTAATTGTTGTTAGTTTTTCTGATATTTTATAGACTGTTAATTAAGTGATCGAGTTTACGTGTATTCATAGCTTTCGGCCATAGGAGCCGTGCCAATTTACGCCAATTGTCAGGGTACACAACTACGTGATCAAGACTACCAGATGGCGGACTTTCAATTTGTGGAAGCCTCGGTGCCTGAGTGGGTTAGATCGCTGGCGATTAGGTGCCACACTCTGGGAGAGAGGGATCGAATCACACACCCCCACTTCCCAACCCCCCCAAAAGTACTAGAATCTGTACTTTACTAAGAAAAATATATCCCAATATAACATTTATTACACGATAGCACGCAATCAACCAAGTCACCGAGTCTGACCACCCGATCCATGGATGTCTCAGAATATTGCTGAGTAAGGCTTAAATACAAGAGACGCATCAATATGGGATTTTAAACAAAGTACATGCGATGTATCATATTGAGCTTATAAGTTTGGTCATAATGCAAAATTTCAGATTGCAATATATATAATTAAACAACGATGAAAATGAAGAGAATGTTTTAAGATTTAAGTCTTCATGAGTGACTGAACACCCCTTTCAACAGTAATTCCGTCATAACACCTCTTGTCAGCTTTTTGTTCATGAGGATAGGCAACAATGACATCGTTGACAATTGGTGTTCTGGTGTTCTGGCAATATTTGAGCTGGATGACAGCCGACTGTAAATTGTCGAGTCTGAACCCGACTTTCCAGTGATCGTTATTGTGAGCAACGATCCACGCATCTTTCCGAGGCAAGTGAGTTAACTGACTACAAAAGTCCAGTTTCCACCCTTGCCGAACTAAGCTGGTATTATGGAGTTACGTTTTGACTGGATTAACGAGTCTATGCATAGTCCAATCAAAATCGCGCTCCGAAATCGAAATCCGGTTCGTAAATTGTCATGCATATTTCGGTCGATTGCAGGATTTGCAAAGCATGTGCACCGCTAACTCGTTGTCAACAAATATTTTCTAAATATTTTCAAGTTTTTAATCAAGGTGCACACGTGATTTGATGCACTTTGCGATGTAAGACTCGTTTCATCACAATATATAGATCTTGATTATCGATCAGATCGTCTTGACTGGGCGCCGCCGTTTTGTTTGAAGCAAATGCAAGTAATACGAGAGGTGGAATCTGATTGGTCCATAGGGGAGGCATAGAAGGGGCATAAATTGTAATATCCACTGGTGGCGCTACGATTGAGCCCAGGAGTCCCAGCCTAGTTCGGCAAGGGTGGAAACTGGACTTTTATAGTCAGTTAACTCGATGGCCTCGGGAAGATGCGATCCACGTCGTTGGGGTACGATGACACAATCCACCCGATCCTTACGACCAGCACAGGTTGCTGTGGACCTATGCTAACCAGGGCCCCGTTCCACAAAGCGATCTTAGCGCTAAGTCGATCGTAACTCCCATTCTTTAACACTGACTTACGACAATCGTAGCGCTAAGATCGCTTTGTGGAACGGGGCCAGGGACTCCCCAAAGGGGAACGCTCTGTCCTCACTCCGTGGACGGGTATACCGCTAAAAATTAAACGGTTGCCGCTACGACAAAGGGACGTAACTCTGTGCAGCGGTGCCTTGGATGCCTTGGTTAACCGTGTTCTTATATCCGTTATACGGTGGAGTAGCCTAGTGGTAAAAGCGTTTGCTCGTCAGGCCGAAGGCCCGGATTTGATTCCTTACATGTGTACAATGTGTGATGCCCAGTTCTGGTCCCGCTGGTAGTTCTGGAATAGTGCTAAAACGGCATAAAACCATACTCACTCACTTTTACTTGCACATCGCTATACTCACTAGTAAATGTAAATACCGTTACTTCAGTCCGGGTTACTGAGGTTCTGGTGTAGTAAAGGAGACAATATTTAAGTTCAGTCGAAATATTTGTACAATCTACATAGTATTTTTTCCCCGATCTTCAAATATAACCTTCCAAGCATGAGCTTATGAACACACGGTTGCACGAGTTGTCTCCCTTCCCACCTCAGCGTGTTGATCCTGTAAATATTTCTTCCCCTCCCGTAGTTAGCAGGCAGTGCAACCACTTCTTTCGACTTGATTTACCATCCCCATGTCCAGGACTTTCAGGGTCGCAGGATACCCCAGTGGTTAGCCTGAGTGCATTACGCTGAAGACCGGGTTTAATTCCACGGATGTGTAGAAGGTGAACATTCCAGGAGATATATTGTGTCCCCCACCGTGATACTGCTGGAACGGTTCTTATGTTAAGGTTGAAAATGTAAAACCGCGAGCTAGGGAAAAGCCCAACCTCGAGGTTTTACATTTTCAAACACACCCGGGGAGGAGTGTTTTATGAACTTATGAACCGTTTAAATGCAAGAAACACCAGAATAAATAAGGGAACATCGAGATACCTTATACTGAAACAATGCAGCGTGTCGCGGTATAAAAGGAATTCGATCAAAGCGTGCGAGAGAAAACCACGTGCAGTATGGCCCAACTGGAGTCATGACATGTATAATTGAACAACTTCACATCACCAGCCCCGGTGGCTCAGTGGAAAAACAGTGGGTTACAAAACTTAACACGATAAGTGAGGTTGCAGGTTCGATTCACGTCATGGGACTTTGATGTAAAAATTGTGACTTTTAACCAAGCAAAAATCAATGTTGTGTTCTTATCCAAAGTCTTGTTTATAAAGCGTCCATTGTAAAAACCTAGGTATTACAATTGAAATGTAAAATCTCAAAGCAGGTTTAGTGGTGACCCATTTCAAAACCTAGGTTTGGAAGATGAACTGATTACAGTAAACTACGGTTATAACGAACACGCTTATAACGAACTGACGGATATAACGAACTTACTTTTTTGGTCCCGACTATTTGCTGTAGTTATCCTGTATATATGCTTATAACGAACTACGGTTATAACGAACTAAAATGAGCAGTCCCTTTAAGTTAGTTATAACCGTAGTTTACTGTACTTGGTTTACCCGAGGTTGTCAGGAACGTAACGCAATATAGGGTAATACGGTAATAGGTTTATAAAGTCGGGTGAGTGAGTGAGTGAGTTCGGTTTTACGCCGCTTTTAGCAATATTCCAGAAATATCACAGCGGGGGACACCAGAAATGGTCTTCACACATGGTACCCATGTCGGGAATCGAACTCGGGTCTTCGGCGTGACTATAAAGTCGGATGAACCCACTTACTTACTGTTAGCGCTACAGAATCGACCAAGTCATATCTCATACCTCATACAATAGTTATTTTCGCAAAAAGTACGGGGTTGCAATTACATTTGACTGCTATATACTACTCAATAGAAGTTAAGAACCGATTCTTTCATATTATTGTCGTTAATCTGTCATGCCAAAGTAATATGTAAGAATCGGGTCGTCCTCAACTTCTTTTGAATAGTATATATAAAAAGTTAGGAGGTACATGTGCATGTAATAATCTTGAAGGCTGCGTTAAACTCTATTGGACCACACATCACCCCCCTGCGTGTAATTGATATGTACATAGTGCTGGCAGCATTAAGTAGGATTTGTATGTTTGTTGTTTAACGCCGCACTCAGCAATATTCCAGCTATGTGACGGCGGTCTGTAAAATAATCGAGTCTGGACCAGACAATCCAGTGAATGACATCATGAGCGTCGATCTAAGCAATTGGGATACGATGACATGCATCAACCAAGTCAGCAAGCCTGACCACCCGATCCCGTTAGTCGCCTCTTACGACAAACATAGTCGCCTTTTACGGCCAGCATGGGATCTTCACGGATCACATTAAGCAGTAAACAAATGTGTTGCCGGTCCGGTGTGTTCATTCCAAGGATTTATGACGCGCCGCACACACCAGCGCCACCAGCTTCGGTGAAGCAAAAAATGAAATTAGGATGTTTTTTATCCTGTCTGAAGCAAATTTGAAAGGTTGCAAGCAAAGGAAACCGTTCATCTCATGATTCAGTCACCTAGTCCCATGTCGAACTGATGTCGAGTTTAGGATGTCACATTGCTTGTGGGGCGGTCTGGTAGCCTAGTGGTTAAAGCGTTACTCACTTCACTTCACATTGCTTGTGTATTGTTGGTTTTGTGTTTTATGTCGCAGTGGGCTGTTTTCGGGCTCTGTCACGGGATCCTGTAAATAATCAAGATACCAGACAAACCAATGACTGGGAAACGTATGGAATACTGTAAGGGACATTCTCGCGATCTCGCATTCTCGCGTTCTCGCGATTTCGTGTGTTTGAGGCCTAATTTGACTAGTCGAAATTGCGAGATTGCGAGATTTGGCATCATGTCCAAATGTCGCATTCTCGCGTTGTCGACTTTTGACAAAACGTGCTATGCACCAAAAACACGAGAATGCGAGATCGCGAGAACGCGAGATTTTGGCCAAATCTCGTGATCTCGCATTCTCGTGTTTGGGGCATATTTAGCTAGTTTCAATAGGTCGAGATCGCGAGAATGCGAGATCGCGAGAATGTCCCTTACGGTATTCCATAGAAACGTCATCCTCATTCTTAATATTATTATTTTGCTTTCTTCTTTTCAAACAAGTCGTTTCCTTACTGTGTTCATCCTCTTTTTGGGCGGTTGGTTAGCCCAGTTGTGTAAGCGTTCGTTCGTCACGCCGAAGACCCGGGTTCGATTCCCAACATGGGTACAACGTGTGAAGCCCATACTCCCTCACTCACTAATCCTCTTCTTTCCTCAGCCCCGTGAACCTCCTGGACGGAGATGAGGACAGGTTCGCCTATGCTGCTGCTTTCGGCTCCACCGCAACCAGCTGCCTCATCTTGTTCGGGGGAGACTACATCCCTGACAACTCACCCATGTGGTCGCAAGGTGAGCTAAGTACCCACAAACACACAATACTTTCAAACCAGAAGTGACCGCCTCCGTGGTCTAGTGGTAGAGCGTCCGCCCGGAGAGCGGAAGGTCCGGGGTCCGATCCCCGGGGTTTGATCCCCGGCCGCGTCATACCAAAAGACGTTAAAGATGATACTTCCTGTTACCCTGCCTGGCGCTCGGCAGTAAGGGGCTAAAACAAGGACTGGCCGGCTCAGAGTCAGTATACTTTATCTGAGTGGGGTCTTCATGTATTGGAGTATGGTATCTCAGTGTTCAGGCACTATGAAATCGGCGTCAGTCCGGACTAGTACAAGCAGCCACACAAACACACACACGTACATGCACGTCGCTATATAAGTGCAATAATCTTCGACGCGACGTTAAACCCCATTTCACCTCACTGCAAACCAGAAGTTTAACTTGTAACGCATAGTTGATGCTGGGAATATTAGTTCAGTACCATAGAACCTAAGTGTTTCTTACTAATTTTATAAATATATCTTTTGAGTGTTAAAGGTGTGATTTACTGTGACCAAAAGAAGTAAAATGGATAAATATGGAATTTTGTCCTTCTTGTCCTTTCTGTGACCGTCATGACTTTTGTAACTTTGAGTTGAGGCCGCTGGAAAAAATAATTTTATTATTTCACTTTAGCAAAAATCGTTCACCGTCTGAAAGATAATGTGTTCTAGGTAAAACGGATTCTGAGAAAACAATTGTGTGAAAAGACAGTCCGTCTGAAAAAACATATCCCAGTTGACTCCCCAAATACCTCTCAGCCCTCTCATCGTATCCCAATTGCGTGGGTCGATGCTCATGATATCAATCACTGGACTGTCTGGCCCAGACTCGATTACTTACAGACCGCCGTCATATAGATGGAATATTGCTGAGTGCGGAGTTAAACAAACAAACAAACAGACAGACAGACAGGCAGACAGGCAGGCAGGCAGGCAGGCAGGCAGGCAGACAGACAGACAGACAGACAGACAGACAGACAAACAAACACAAATTAACTACTGGGATTTAACAGTCTAAGATACCGAAAATCAGTGTCCAGCAGGGACGAAGGGGTGCTGGCTACAATGGAAATAGAAATTGCGATACAATTCAACGAGGACGATAGAGGCATTAGTTTCCATGCATGTGCGGCTTGGGGTATAAGTTTCCAGACCTGGGGTCTTTACCCGGATATTTAATGGATTTGGGGTTTGTCAGCACCATACCCGTGGGATTCACCGAAGTGGTAAACGTCTGAGACCTGCATCACTTTGAGCTTTCCGTCCACATTAAGCTGACACGCTGCAATATAACCGGAATACTGTTAAAAGCGGCGTTAAACCAAACTCACTCACTCACTAATGGATTTTGCAAAAAATTACCTTGTTACATTTTGTCACTGGGACATCTGACTGCATTTTGTAGCATTATGACAATATAATAACCATACAGACAGACTTTTAGAAAACGTAACGTCTCATAGACCAAGTAGCTTCCCTTTGATTTTGGGCAAATATTCTAGCGAGCGGACCGATGGATAACCGCGAAATGCGATCATTGTTATATGAAATATATTACCCTAAAACGTTATATGTAGGCTATTGTTTTCTGTAAAACAACTATATTAGGATATTCATGTTTATTCCAGAATATCTATCCCTAAACACACTAGCGTGATAACCTCTATGTCCAATGTTCGGGGGATGTTTAATCTGAGTGTCAGTATAATCAAGACTTTAGTTTCAAAGTTCTTCTCTGCTCTTCTGTACCGCGAATCTGTGACAAGATTTATGTTAATTGTTCCAGTGTTCCTGGCCATGATGGCCGTGACGGAGATGGGGATAGACTACTACCCGTTTTTCGCCTGTCTGGCAAAGAAGAACAGCTTTGTCTGGTCATTGATAGGCCTGGCCTACTCCATCCTATGGTGAGCATGTTCATACTTCTTGTTCTAAAATCTAACGATATTTTGAAAATCATCTCAAAACGAGATCGTTAAAAGATTATTAATAATCCGATGACTTTAACGAATATCATACAATACGTATATTGACTTTCTTACATGTATAACAGTCCTCAAACACACACTTTTTATGCAAATTGTGTGAGCGGTGGGCGGGACCGCTAGGGCTGGACATGCTTACCATTTTCGCGAGCACCTGGTGTCATCATTGCTTGTCAATGATCCATTCATATAATTTTCACCGCTATTTCACCTTTACGCTCAGTGGAATCTGTTTCATGGGATAATCGAGACTTGTTATTCTCTGGCGTTGACGTTTTTTTATAATTATTAACAAGTCGGAAAAACGTTCTGGCGTTTTGTGCTCAAAATTTAAAGATCTACAACTTTCTTTGACCCATATCACAACTTGTCAGCTGTTTACCCGTTGTTATCTATAAAAAAAAAGGTGTATGCCAGTGCCCCGTCCCATAAAATGTGGGGCGGCGAGATAGCCCAGTGGTTAAAGTGTTCGCTCGTCACACCGAAGGCCTGGGTTCGATGCCCCACGTGGGTACAATGTGTGAAGCCCATTTCTGGTGCCACCCGCCGTATTATTGCTGGAATATTGCTGAAAGCGGCGTAAAACAATACTCACTCACTCCACAAGAGGCCCTTCAGTCTATACTATACCCTAGGATAGACTTAATCTGCCCCCCCCCCCCCCCCCCCCCCCCCCCGTGGGGAACCCTTGTAGGAATTGGTCCCTAGCAACCTATGCTGGTCGTAGGAGGCGAGTTAATGGATCGGGTGGTCAGGCTCGGTGACCCCGTTGATGGCGTGTCATCGTACACCGACGGCGTTGATCGTTGCTCGCAATATCAATCACTGGATTGTCTGGTCCAGACTCGAATAAATACAGGAAGCCACCATATAGCTGGAATATTGCTGAGCGCGGGTTTAAACAACAAATACTGACACATATATTAGTCGTAGCGCTGAGGTTGCTTCATATATACTACTCAAAAGAAGTTAGAGAACGCCCCATTTTTCAGGGGGAACAAATGTTCAAATGAACTAAATCGGATGTTTATCAACTTCTTTGGAGAGGTATGTATGGACACCCCAACAGAACTTTAGAGTTTTGCAGGTTTTGAAAAAACAGTAATAGAATACACGTTTCAGCACAATTGCTTGACGTGTTTTAAAAATATCGATTTATCAATTAGGACTTTCAATTCTTCAGTTTAAATATATGTTCACGGATAATGTCCCATAATGTCCACAGTGAACATTCACACACACATATTTTTTAAAGAGAACTTCTCAGTAAACATTATCACACTTAGTATATTTTAACGTATTTTCATTCAATCGATTTCAGGTTTTTAGTCAACCTAGCTCACGTGTTTGAATGCGTGGATGCATCCGACTGGGTTCGTACAAAAATTGAACTATCTACAGTACTGTAATAAATATATAGTCTTGCTCTGAGTGAAATGCATTGACGTGTTGTCCATAGCAACAGCATTGGTATCTCAGTGGGCTAGCACTATAAATCGGCATCAGTCCGGACTAGTACAAGCAGCCACACACACACGTGCATGCACGTCACCGTATAGGTGCAATAATCTTGGACGCAACGTTAAACCCCATTTCACGGGATTGCCTAAAAGTCGGGCCGGGTCGGGCCAAGACGGGCCAAAGTTGTATTGGCCTATTACTCCATTATCGGCGACCATACCTACATGTACATATCATTGATGCAACACACACACACACATGACATTAATGAACAATCATCAACCAAGAACGTGTACCATAATTAAGTGATTCGGAGTAAATCGCTTGAAAACCAGAAAGTGGAGCTGTGTGTAAGCATCGCTGATCTAGGTAACATGTAAAAGGGCAATCGTTAAACGAAATAGGATTTGAAACGTATCAAATACTTCTAGCTGTCGTGATACAAATTTCCATCTGTCGGCATAGCGTTTACATTTATAGGACAGTACTATATCTAAGTAAATACCACTTAATAATGTCACTGTTCATCGTATTTAAAGCAGACACGTTGGTTAAAGTAGAACTCTTCTCCCCATACTCTCAACAGTCTCACAAGTGTTCGGTCCGACTTGGCCCGGGCTGTCAAAATCAACTTTAAACACACAGATGTATCATCAAATGGTTTACATCTATAGAGAAGTATTATATCTACCTACTTTACCACTTTATAATGGCATTGAAAGAAAACTGATCCGTTAAAGTCAAACACTTTTACTGTATTTTCTTAAAAAAATCTTTGTCAGAAGTGTTCGTTCCGACTTGGCCCGGGCTGTCAAAATCAACTAAACCTCACAGATGTAACATCAAATGGTTTCACATCTATCAACTAGTTTAATATCTACCTATATATCACTATGTAGTGCCACAGATCGCGGTATTTAAAGAAAACAAGGTGCTCAAAGTGAAGCCCTTTTCCCTCTCCATTCTCAACATAGTCTCCATCAAAAGTGTTTGGCTTGTGTTGGGTCCGACTTGGTCCGGGCTGTCAAAATCAACTTTAAACACACAGATATATCATCAAATGTGTTAACATCTATAGATTAGTATTATATCTGCCTTTATACTACTTTATAATGTCACAGATGGCGGTATTTATAGAGAATAAGGAGCTCAAAGTGAAGCCCTTTTCCCTCTACATTCTCAACATAGACTCTATCAGAAGTGTTTGGCTCAATTCTCATATTGTTTCCACATCATTATAATACACTTGTTTAAAAATAAACTTGTTATAATGTGCCTTCTCTGTATGTTGAATGCACTTATGTGTTTTACACTTATTGTGCATATATTTTGTAGTTTGTGATAGTGTAATATTGCCACTGTTTCTTCATAGAATGTTACGCAATACATATCTCATCTTCAACATCTTTGTTGTATGATAGTTTGTTACAGTTGTGTACGGGGGCACGGTTGGCCAAAGTCGCCTTATGCGCTGCAATTCGCTATGCAGAGTGGTGTCCCTTGGGCACTCCAGAAACCTATGACAGTATGTTCGAATCCTGGTTCGCCCAGATTATGTTGTCAGCACTATACCCGTGCTCATGGGTTTCACCAATGTGGTGAACGTCTAATACCTGCATCACTTCGGGCTTTCCTTCCACATCAAGCTGACACGCCGTGATATAACTGGAATTATACTATTCAAAGCGGCGTTAAACCCAACTCACTCACTCACTACTCTTGTGTACGGTTCCGTTTGGTTAACTGGGTTTGTGTTGTGATTACTTCCGGCTTAAATTTGAAGTATGTTTAGAAGAATGTTACTATGTTCAAGCCAAACATCGTGAATATATCATGCAACCGAATTATTTTTCAGGAGAATAATTGCAAACTAAGGGCCAACATATTGATTTCCAATGTATCCAGAAGTAAAGAACTTATACGGGTGTATAATCTCTGCAGGAAGTTAAAACAACTGTCAATACAATAAACCATGCAGAACCATTAACCGCCGTATGAAACGGTATGAATCATATTTTACATACAGTGAACCACTTGAAACTGTGCTCAAATCTGCACAGCAAGCACCACACATGTGATTGTGAAGACAACTTATTACAAATATCTGATATCAAACCCTTTGTTTTACATGTGTTGTTTATTGGACAAAGTCATGCTTCATAGAAGCCTGGTATTTAATCGTGTTGAACAATAAGTTGCAATAGCAGTGTGAAGGGAGAACGACTGAGTGCGCGTTACATGCTTGACCTTAATTCCTCCCTGGAAGCATTCTCGCTGGCTGCCTGAATAACATACGATACATTGCAAAGGTAGTGCGCAAAAGAGCTATTCTGGTAAGGGAGATAATCACTCACTCTCAGTGATACAGCTTGAATAAGATACGATATACAGCATTGCAAGGTCACGCGTGATAAAGCTCTATACTACACATACAGCTAAAGGAGATAATCGCTCAATGCGCAATAGGTAGATTTGTTAGTAAATTTATTGAACCTAATAAAGTCGATATATTTAATTTAATATCATAGATACAAATATGAAATTTTGGAGTCCGATAGCCACATGTTGTCGTTGTACAAAGGCATTGAAAACTGTTCATTGTCATGTCACATAAGGCCACAAGGGTGCGCTGAACTCAGTATTTCGTGTGACCGCCCTTGGCAGCAATCACGGCTCAATCACCAGCTGTCAATATACAAAACAGAATAATATATCAAGATGACAGTTTTCATGTAAAGATTAAGTATTTCTAAGCAAATTAAAGATACATATATCTCGATATTGTACATATCTTTAAGTTGCTTAGAAATACTTAATCGTTTCATGGAGACTGCCATCTTGATGTATTATGATGTATTGTATATTGACAGCTTGTGATTAATTGTTACCAGATGGCTCCAGCTGGGAAAGCAGACGACACACTTTCTAACAATGGGGAACAGGGTAAACATATGAGTAGGCTGGTTATCATCGAGCAGACGACTCACCAGTCTAAGATGTATTGAAAAAACACACAGTTAATTCTCAACCTTATCTAATATTAATTCAACAATTTATCATATACTTAGCAGTGGGATATTCTGTTAATAATCTTTCATAATTCTATTGAATGGTTCTGTACATTCTATCAATGTTCATTTGTACAAAACTGTTTTATGTATGTACAGAAGTGAGACATTAATAATTTTTTGTCTGTCTACAATGTATACCGTACAATTAAACCGATTACACACAGGAGCTTCACTTTGAGCTCCTTGTTTACTTTAAATACCGCGATCTGAGACACCATAAAGTGGTATTTAGGTAGACGTAATACTTGTCTATAGATGTAAACAGATTTGATGTTACATCTGTGATGATTAAGTTGATTTTGACAGCCCGGGCCAAGTCGGACCCAACACAAGCCAAACACTTCTGATAGAGACTATGTTGAGAATGTAGAGGGAAAAGGGCTTCACTTTGAGCACCTTGTTTTCTTTAAATACGATGTACTGTGACATTATATAGTAGTATGTAGGTAGATAAAGTACTAAGCTACAGATGTAAACAAATTTGATGATACATCTGTGTGTTTTAAGTTGATTTTGACATCCCCGGCCAAGTCTGACCCAACACAAGCCAAACACTTCTGATAGAGACTATGTTGAGAATGTAGAGTGAAAAGGGCTTCACTTTGAGCACTGTGTTTTCTTTAACTACCGCAATATGAGACAATAAAGTGGTATATAATTAGATATAATACTAGTCTTTAGATATAAAGAATGTTAGGAACTTTAGAAGTGCTAGGACAGTTCTTAACACGTGTCGTGTCAGCCCTATGACATTCGTGAATATCCACATCCAGAAAACATTCTGTGTTGGTTTAACATGAATTAGTAAAGGTTAACTAGGGATGCCCAACACGTTGATTAATGAAAGAAGAGTAGTCAAAACACTGTCGTTTCCTGCCCTGGAAATCACACCCCTACAAGCTAAGGTCGGTGAGAAACATTCTCATCAAAGAAAACACACAGTCAAGACACTGACTTTTCTACGAGGATTCATGGTATGTAGTCATAATTATCAGTTTATTACATTGTTGAAGATGCATTTTGATTCAAACTCAATTAAATGAGCAAAACTATACGTTTATGGACATTTGCGATCTGCCTAGATATGCACGTTTCGTTTTATTATTTTGCAATCCATTTTTAGTATTACCCGCTGGCCCGACTTTTAGGCAATCCCCCATTTCACCTCACGCCACCTATAGATCAGGTCTTGTGTCCTACACAGGTGTTCACTGGTCAGCCAGTGGTCATCCAGCTCCCAGTGCTCGCCTGTCTTCTGTACCTTGTCATCACCTTCCTCATCCGGGTCATCGTCGCCATCTTGTCAACCCTCAGATCAATGACAGAGTCCTACGTAGGTGTTTGGTGACTACAGTAAACTACGGTTATAACGAACTTAAAGGGACTGCGGATTTTAGTTCGTTATAACCGTAGTTCATTATAAGCATATATTCAGCATAACTACAGCAAAATTTCGGGACCAAAAAAGTAAATTCGTTATATCCGTCAGTTCGTTATAAGCGTGTTCGTTATATCCGTCAGTTTACTGTATTTGACTCCCGGAGAACACGGTCGAACCAGAATCTCGTGACCCATGGATCAAATACCAGATTCACCCTGATTAAGGTTCTTGATTTGTCAGCACCATAAGTTGAAATAATCGAATTAAGACCAGACAAACCAGTGATAGATACACGAGCTATCTTTTGTTCGCCACGAAGGGAAGGCGACTATGCTTGTCGTAAGAGTCAACAAACGGGATCTGGTGGTCAGGCTCGATGATTTGGTTGATGCATGTCATCGTATCCCAATTGCGTGGATCGATGCTGATGATGTCAATCACTGGATTGTCTGGTCCAGACTCGATTATTTACAAACGGCCGTCATATAGCTTGAATATTGCTGATTGCGGCGTTAAACACAAACAAACAAAATATTATTTTACTCGACTGAGTCTCGATACATGACACGAATTATGATATAAATGTCAACATGAAATACGATGTTTTTGTGTTTTTTGTTGTTGTTTAACGTTTAAGCATGGGTTGCTGAAGATCAAATCTAACCCGGATCTTCACGGGTAATAAATTTTGTTTTTAGTATTAAGATATAACTCAAATGCCGCGCATTCTGATATTTTTTCTCTTTTCCTGTTCGTGTCAGACACACAATACCGATGCAACCTTCCTGATCAAAGACAAGGTACCGTTATATGTTTATTATTTATTTTATTGCTTATTTATTTTTAGAATAACGGGCACGGCGGCCCTGTCGCCTGAAGCCTGGTTGGCATGCACACATTTACCAAAAGGTGCAAAATGTACCCTGAGCTAAATTTTCGTCAAATAAACATGTTTTTGATTTACCCCAGGGAGTAAGATACCCCAACTCGATAGCTGCAGCAAATATCGTACCCCTGTGGGTAACATCCCCCCTGGGGAAAACAGTGCATGTAAACTAGGCTTTAGGCGCCAAATTCGCTGTGTGTTGTCAGACACCTTTGTTCGTTGGTGTAAATTCCAGATTGGCTCTGGTCAGGTTTCTAGGTTTGTCAACGCCTGATCTTGGCTCGTGGGTTTCACCAAAATTGTAAACATTTAAGACGTGCGATACCTTGATTTGGGCTTTGCCCCCATATCAAACTGACCCGCCTTGATAAGACTGACATACTGTTCAAAAGCGGCATAAAACCAAACTTGCTCACTATAACGAATCATGACGTCAATCTGTATAACTGTATTCGTAAATTGGAGTAAATAAAGTTCAATAAAGTTCATTCATAAACGCAGCGACATCAACGGTGTCAATGAGTACAACATGTGTAAACTGCTGACACAAAGACACGCCTGTATGTAGCTTCAGGCACCACATCAGCTGATGAAGTACCACCAAGCCAAACATGTGACAGAACTACTCAAGGGCAAGCACTCCAGTCTGCCTCCAATACTGACGTAAGTGAACCACACAAACTCTCTAAGACCTCGATGGTCGAACTATTACTTGACCCGAACTTCCATCTTTCCGGGTTTTCTGGGTGAAGGAGTATGCTATAAAAAACCTCCTCGTATCAGTTTGAGATTTAATCAAGGTGTCGATATTCATTCATGGTTATAAACCTCTAGTGACGTCATTCTATTGTTCGTATGGGCCTGCATTAATTTTCGGGCCGGTGGAGTAGCCTAGATGTAAAAAGGTGCGCTCGTCAAGCCGAAGACCCGGGTCCGATTCCCCACATGGGTACAATGTATAAAGCTCCCCCCCCCCCCCCCCCCCCGTGAATTTGCTGAAATTTCCTAAAAGCGGCGTAAAGCCATACTCACTCACTCCAAAATGTCTATCTGACCCGTGAAAGTCTCTCTACCGCTAGAGATGTAGTTTACATTTGAACAAAATATACATCAGGAAATGTACTGAATAATTTAAAATCAATTAACATATTATTTATGTGTCAGTGGCTTTTGAGGCGCTGACAAGAGGTATTTTACGTATGCTTTCTTAGGTTTTATCGAAAGTATGTTTGAAACAATAATTTGTTGATAAATGTTGTTTCAGACTTTTCCTTTGGCCCTCCCCAATTTCCTTCTCCCTCGGGTTCATAGTTTCAGTCAAGATCTCGCAGTCGGTTTAATCCTTTATTTGAGCCCTGAAACAAATTGTTGTGAAACGAAATTAATTGAACGAATGTCGTGAAACAAATGTGTCGTGAAACAAATGTATTGTGAAACAAATGTGTCGTGAAACAAATGTATTGTGAAACAAATGTATTGTGAATCAAATGTGTCGTGAATCAAATGTATTGTGAAACAAATGTGTCGTGAAACAAATGTATTGTGAATCGAATGTATTGTGAAACAATTATTGTGAATCATACGTGTTGTGAATCAAATGTGTCGTAAAACAAATCGGTTCCTCGGGGAAATAAATTGTACTGTCTTGAAGCATCGTCAGAAAAATATTCTGTTTCTAACAAAGATCCCAGGACTCACCAAAGAAGATAAAATGGCCAATCTCTGAGTTAGTGTCTCTGTCCCCAGCTCGGCTGACTGCGGTTCAGGGTTGTGGAATGTTCTGAATGTCCGCCAGGATCCAACATTCAGGTACTCTCCGCGCATCACTGTCACCGTCACTGTCGCCATGCTCTGTCTTTATGAGGTAGGGATTTCATTCTTTCCTTCACGATCTCTACTATATGACCATACCTTAGAAGAGGCGAAACAATACAAATATTATTCTCCATTTTGACATCCATGGTTTACAGACAACTCTCCAGCCTAGACACGTCAACTACCAAATGGCCTTAAATCGATCTACGAGGGTTGACTGACAAGTTCTAAGCCTCACAGAGAAGGAATAGCGAAAGTGAAATGTTTTGTTGTGGATATTTTACTGACGTCACAGCGAAAGAATTTGCTCGGTTGAAGTTTTTTCTACGACATCATATAATGTCCATAACAGTTTTTACTATTTTGCCATTCCTTCTAAGCGAGGCTTAGAACTTATCAATCAATCCCATATATATCAAGTCAATTTCGCCAGTCCAAAATTCCGTTAAATCTGACAAATAAATTGAATTGGAAATGTTTTTTAACAAGTGCTATATCATCAAACTGAATTTAAATGCACCCCAGGGTAAAATATGGTTTGCAATCATCAGCGTATGATTTATGCAAGAGAGATTCACTATTCAATGCAATCACATAGGAATTAAGAGCTGCCTAACAAACTGAATGCTTTGCAGCGACAAATATATATTGTATAAAAAACACCAAAAACGTGAACCTGTCCTTAACACGGTTTTCTTACTACCACTGAAGTGAAAGTAGTAATGCTCTACACTTCTCTGTTTACTTTCAGTTTGGCCTGCTGTCGTTCTTAACAATAGAGAAGGCCCTAGGCAGCGCCAAGGCATCCTTGCAGAACGCCACTGTGTCTTCCAGCATGGCTACCGTGTTTGGCCCAGGGATGTACAACCAGATGAAGCTCCTCCTGCATGTCGGACAGAGTAAGGCATCGGTATTTCATCTCCAGGGGTGGGGCGGGGTACGAGGGGTGGGGTAGCACCACACTTGCATTTATGCGTATCATATTCCAACACATGTTCGTCGCATCCGGAAACGTCATACTGCCATTATTGTGTATCATTGAGTTAGGCACGTCGGAAATATGTCAGCCATATTGTGATTTGATCAAGTTCTACAGTTATATTATATTTAAAAAACTGTCACCGAAGGACAGTATAATAACTAGCACTACATCAAAAATGGACTTAAAACTAGTGGAACATTACAATATCTGCAACTTAGACAATGATACACTATAAAAATGGGGATATTGATCGCCGACAGCAAGAAAGGCAAGGTCACCACACTAGGGATCATGGGGACTAACGGCACCTCGGCTACCTTCATATTTCCCCAGCATAATTTACACTTGCCCTTAGTTACTGGCGCTTGCCGTAAGTTAAGCCGGAGATTAAAAGTTAACAAATATTATGCAGTTACAATAAAGGTAGATATAAATATACTAAATGAAGTGGTCCCCTTTCGGAGGACTATAAGTTTACGCTACTTTAACCCCTTCCAATATTCAGCCACTAACATCGAGTAATATCTTACTTCGCATCGGCTTATTTAATTATTGTATATCATACTCAGTAACATACCGCTTGTTACTTATTCTCTTATTTTTGAACAGAAAATGCATGAGATATTGAAAAAATAATCCTGCAAAGCAAATTCCTATTGATAATAAGATCCCAATGAATATATTATTTGATTCTCACAAGCAGAATATTTCTGAATTTGCTTTTTCGGTTAAATTCTACGCCAAAATTTTCAAATTCTTTATATCACAATGTGTCGTACTTTTACAAGGGGATTCACCTTAAAGTCTAAATTACTAAATTGCCTTTTACGCCAATGGAGTCTGTTTCGCCACTTTCGGCACAAAATCGAGACATTGTTTGCTGGCGTTAAAACACTTACCCCTTTCGCGAACATCTGATTTTCAGTGAACCATTCATAATATTTTCATGGCTATTTTGCCTTTTACGACCAATGTAATCTGTTTCATGCGATAATTGAGGTGAGGTGAGGTGAAATTGGGTTTAACGTCGCGTCCAAGATCATTGCACTTATATAGCGACGTGCATGTACGTGTATGTGTTTGTGTGGCTGCTTGTACTAGTCCGAACTGATGCCGATTTATAGTGCTAGCTCACTGAGATACCATGCCGCAGTTTAACATGAATACCCCACTCAGACACAGTATACTGACTCCGAGCCGACCAGTCCTTGTTTTAGCCCCTTAATGCCGAGCGCCAGACAGGGTAACAACAAGTACCATCTTTTAACGTCTTTTGGTATGACGCGGCGGACGCTCTACCACTAGACCACGGAGGCGGTCCGATAATTGAGACTTATTTTATATTTGATATTTAGCTTGTGTGTTTTTGTCCTGCAGTGTCATGGTATGCTGCCTTCGGCGTGTCGTCAGTGGTCATTGTGAACTACATCATCAGGATCTTCGTCAGTTACAAAGTGCAGCTCAAACGACTGATGAGGGGAGACCACTCTTTTATACCCAAGCACTGCTCTGTTTTGCCCAGGAGCAAAATAGTGGTGAGGGAATCTCGTACACTCTATACGCTCGTGTACTTTATATTAAATATCATTTCCAATAACGAATACAGCAATTCATTGTTATAAGAGGTGAGGTGAGGTGAAATAGGCTTTATCGATGCGTTCAGGATTATTGCTTATATAACGACTTTTGCATGCACGTGTTTTTGTTGTTGTGTTTGTTTGTGTGTGTGTGTGTGTGTGTGTGTGTGTTAGTGTGTTAGTGTGTGTGTTAGTGTGTGTTTGTTTGTGTGTGTGTTTGTGTGTGTGTGTGTGTGTGTGTGTGTGTGTGTGTGTGTGTGTGTGTGTGTGTGTGTGTGTGTGTGTGTGTGTGTGTGTGTGTGCGTGCTAGTACTAATGGCGGCTTAATAGTGCTAGCCTACTGAGATACCATGCCCCTGTTTAACTTGGATACCCGACTCAGACACAGTATGCTGACTCCGATCAGTCCTTGATTTCAGAAATATTAAATAACACGTTCTCCTGTGTTTTGTGAAAGTCATGGTAATATATCTCGTCTTTTCAGGCTCACAGTCTGATGTATTCTGGATCTCAAATTGCCTACATTCTATGGGGTACGTTAATGTGAACAATCTTTCCCTAGTGTGTGTCATATATGTTAACATCTGAGAACTGCATTCATAACTATCTAGAAACACATTTAGAGAACTGAACTTCTTTGTCTTTTCGAGTGTTAGTGTGAGATTCAGACACCTGCACCTTCTCTGCATCAGCCCCTGATGAGTGAGTGAGTGAGTGAGTGAGTGAGTATTGTTTTACGCCGCTTTTAGCAATATTCCAGCAATATCACGGTGGGGGACACCAGAAATGGGCTTCACACATCGTACCCATGTCGGGAATCGAACCCGGGTCTTCGGCGTGACAAGCGAACGCTTTAACCACTAGGCTACCCGACCGCCCCAGCCCCTGATGAACCCTGGTGTGAAGTGTGTTATAGGGCATCTTCCTGAGGCAAGAGAGTTAACTGACGATAAAAGTCCAGTTTCCACCCTTGCCAAACCAGGCTGGAATTTCTGGGCACGATCGAAGCGCCACCAGTGGCTATTACGAGTTATGTCCCTTCTATGTTCATCCTATTGACCAATTCGATGCCACCTCTCATATTACTTGCATTTGCTTCAAACAAAATGGTGGCGCCCAGTCAAGACGATCTGATCGATAATCAAGATCTATATTTTGATAAAACGGGTCTTATTTCGCGAAGTGCATCAGATCACGTGAGCACCTTGATTAAAAACGTGAACATATTTGGAAAATGTCTGATAATGCCAAGTTAACGCCATGTTGGCGGTACTCATGCTTTACATATCCTGCAATCGTGCATATTTCGTTACGCGATTTTGAAATACCAGCCTATTTCGGCAAGGGTGGAAATTGGACTTGCATGGTCAGTTAACTCCCTTGCCTCGGGAAGATGATGTCAAAGAGGAGTGAAACATTTACGCAATATTTAACACTGTTTCTGTTATACCACGCGTCGTGTTAGTTTAATGTGGGAGGAATGACCAAATTGAATCTTGTGAAACCCTGGAATATAGGTATAGTCATCGTGGATCGTGGATTAGAACAGGCATAACATTCGGATCCTGGCACGCCAAAGGGACGAAAGTCTGTTGGGAATTGCGGCGCCTTATACCGGGGCAAACCCGTTTTTTTCAATAAAAGTCATACTCCTTTTTGAATGACTGCGCTTAGGGGTTTTTTTCACCCTAGAATGACTTGCGCGTACGAAACGTCTTTTCCATGTATATTTACATTTGGGACTAATATTATGAGCACTTAACTATTGCGATAGTACGTGTATATATATGATCCCCTGGGAATTCCGAGGTAGATTTGGTACCCTACAACCACAGTTTGTCTCAAAAGTTTACTAAAATGATTCGGGTTGTCAGGTTTCCGATGTCTTGGATCATTTCTCAGACTTCGAGTCTCTTGATTGTGTAGTCAAAACTCGATTCTTAAATTTGTGATATAGTTCAGAGCTAAACATTCCAAAAATACTTTCGTTTTTGAAATATGCATAAAGAAAACAGATCAACAAGAAGTAGAGCACAATTGGTGCCCATGGGGATGCCTACTCATTGCCTAAATGTCTTAACCCTTTGTTTTACATCGATGAGAAAATCCAGCATTTTACATATTCAAACTTCACTAACATGTCTATATTTACTATTATAATTTTCAGGTTATTATGTGATGATATTGTCAATATTCACCAGTAGTATGCTCCTCGCCTACCTGTTCATACTGCCCCTGCTGGGGTTTGTGTCAAGTCTCCTACTCGAACCCTTCTGGACCATAATGTACGTATTCGCCAGCACTGCAAATGATCCTTTTATTGAACCAGGCGTCTAAGATTCCACAGCTCTCAATGCAGAGTGGCGCCTGGGTCGTGGGTTCGAATCTCCGATTGTCATCCTTAAGTAGTCTGTCATCAACTGACAGAGCTCGTTTGTCTTCATCGCGAGCCTCTTTCAGCTTTCCTTTCATATTAAACTGGAATAGTGACTTGATTTGGGTGGTTGATTGTTTTACACCACTCTCAGCAATATCCCAGCTATATGACGGCGGTCTCGACCAGACAATCCAGTGATTGATATCATGAGCATCGATCCATGAAATTCGGATCGATGACATGCATCAACTAAGTCAGCGAGCCTGACCATCCGATCCCGTTAGTCGCTTTTTACGACAAGTATGGGATGCTGAAGAGCTATTTCAACCTGGACCTTCAAGGGTCAATAGTGACTTGGAATCAATCTTATGCCATCTAGTTTATTCACAAATATTATCTGTCTACATATCTATCTTTTCTGTGTATCTATCTACAAATATCCATCTCTTTACAAATATACCCTCATCTTCATTATCTAAATATCGATCTGTCCGTCTTTTAAAAATATTTTTTTTAGATATTATTTAAAGTATTTTCACCAACACCTGTTACATAATGTATGGGTTTTTTCACCTAACACCAAATATCTACGAATTAGGACTATTATGAATAACGATGTGTACATATACAAGGACATAGTTTGAAGTGGATTATGTTAAGAAGTGTATCTTTGGCATACATTGATATTGTTTCTTTGATTGAAATACTTGTTTCTCCCACCGCCCAGACCGACGGTGCTGGTATCCTACACGGTGTACTACCTCCAGGTCCTGGTGTCCAAGAAGGCGCTGCTGCAGAATGAACATTTCTGTAACAGCACTACTAACAAGGTCAGGAGGGTGCTTGCTCTGGACAACAGGTGCGATCTGGACACAAAGCACTGGTCGAGCCAAGACTTCTATTTCTCAGTACAATAAGAAATTTATTACGACAACGCCAGAAATAACCAGTCTCGATTTTCTGCTGAAACAGAGATATGTTGGGTGTAGATCCTCCTCTGGATCAGGTGGTATGAGCTAATAATTAGTCTGTTAAAATTCTTTGTTCATACTGAATCGACATTGTTCATTCTGAATCCACATTAAGTAAGGCTTTGTTCATACTGAATTGACATGGAGTAAGGCTTTGTTCTTATTGAATTCACATTGAGAAAGACTTTGTTCTTACTGAATTCACATTGAGTAAGGCTTGGTTCATATTGATCCACCAAGAGTAAGGCTTTGTTCTTATTAAATTCACATTGAGTAAGGCTTTGTTCATATTGATCCACAAAGAGTAAGGCTTTGATAATAATTATTTTCGGAACTAACAAAAAATCATTCATTTTAAAGAAACACCGGGGACTTATACAAGGACTGGTCGGCTCGGAGTTAGTATACTGTGTCTGAGTGGGGTATTCATATTAAACTGTGGCATGTTATCTCAGTGGGCTAGCACTATAAAATCGGAATAAGACCGTACAAGCACATTTAACCTCATTTCACCTCACCTCACCTTATTAAGTATGAATAATAATAGATACCCATTTCAGTGTTATATATGGAAAAGAAATATATGTGATAGAAGTTACACACATTGGGCAACCATGTGTAGAATCTCTTCTTCAAATATGGTTTTGGCTTGGATGGTACAAAGTGCTAGTAACTGATTTGTTTATCAGTCATTTAAACAACGAGTTGGAGATTGTAATGTTCAAGACTGCCGCTCCTCAATGGCCTCAAGCCCCTCTTTAGGATTCCATACACAATTTTAATCAAGTTTTCGATGTGAGAACTATATTGTTGATATCAACATTTCTAATAATAGAACTGCATTGCTCAAACTCAGAACTGGTTATAATATACTTGGTGTCCAGAAATACATAAAAAATAAATCTTAGGATAAGGATGATTTTCTTTGTCCATTATGCAATATGCTTGAACATGCATCACTTCGGGCTTTCCTCCCACATGAAGCTGACACGCCGTGATATAACTGGAATACTGTTAAAAGCGGCGTTAAACCCAACCCACTCACTCACTCACTCAATATGCTTGAAAACGAAGCGCACGTAATCTTCAGATGTCCTCTCTACTCTCAAATAAGAAGTCAATATTTGTCAAAGTATGAACGTTCTAACATATTCTTAAACCGCGACGTTGTATCTTTACTATGCATAATGATGAGACGAATTTGAACGTTGCAGAATATTCTCATAATTTAGTTCGTATAAGAACGTGTGAGCCACATGGCCTTAAACATGTATGTTCTTCGGGTCTTATGGCCTTTAGGACAATAAATCCTTGAATCCTTGAAAGCTCAACTCTGCCATATGTTTCAGACGTATATTCCACAACGTGTCCTATTTCTTGTTTTTCTACCACATTCTGCTGGGGCTGTACACGTGCTTGGTGAGGATTGGTAAAGGCATTCTACTTGGAGTTGTCTTCCTTGGCAGAATTGACCGCAGTGGGTTGGTCAAGGGCTTCGAACATTGGGACACAGGTATACATTAAACAGAGGGGTACAGTTAAACATGTGGAATATTTAAACTTTAGGATGAAAACCATCAGTCAGATGTCAATATTATACCACACTAATGAATGTATCATTAAAAAAGTGGTTTTCGTCATGGAGGGCTTACCAATCCGGGTCAGTTCATTATATTTACAACCTGGCCATACCCTCAGCATTAAGAGAACCTTTTTTCTCTTGCTATCTGCTATTTGAATCATTTTATTCTCGAATCCTCTGAAATGTAAAACTTTCAGGGTCCTCTCAAAAGTGATGCTGCAGATGGTCATTCTCATCAACGCAGTGTGCAGAGGTCTAATCAGAGGGGACATGGGTGGCACGTCTAAGGCACAGAGTTACATTCCTTAGGCACGTCAGAATACGCTAATCTTGGGTTTGACTCCTAGATTCGCCCTGATTAGAAGTAGTAACATTTATAGCCAACGTTAATGCTGGCAAGGCGTGATACAGCGTAATTTTTAAACACAACTTTTTGAACACAACATCCTCACTCTACATGAGACACAACTTGGCGTGATGTTGCAGGGTACCTGTCGTTCGTGAGTTTCCTGCAGGTGGAACTGGCTCACACACACCCTGTACTGGTAGTTTTCTGTCAGCTGCTGATGAACGGTGTCAGAGACAGGAGGTTGGCGCGGTTCTCCCTCAGCCAGGATGGCCACACCGGATCTCCATACAAAACATGTTCGTACATACGTCAAGACATCTTAGAAATCATAACAATATGTTACAAATGAAGACAGACGTTCATGCGGCAGAAATATAGAATATATTAAAGAACACGAAATTGATTATTTTTTGATGGCATACGTATTTCCTTATCGTGTATAACAGTGTATCAACACCGGGAAGAACCGGTTAGAATTGGTCTTCAACAATCCATGCTTGTCGTAAGAGGCAACTATCGGGATCGGGTGGTCAGGCTAGCTGATTTGGTTGATGCACGTCATCATATACCCATAGCGTGGAGCGATGCTCAAAATCCCTGCAATTATCCAGACTCGAGTGTTACAGGCCGTCGTCATATAGCTGGTTTATTGCTGGAGTGTGCCGTTAAACATCAACTAACTAACTAGCAAACTAACAGTGTATCTGGATTTTTATATGAAAGAAACCATTTGGAAGAAGCCGCATACTATGGCTATTGTTAAAACCCGTGGTTAAAGCCTCGGGGAACTCTCTCTGTCTTTTTTAGGGTCAGGGTCAGCGTCATGTTCAAGGTTATTATTGTGACGTTGATTGATGTGTATTTCAGTCGGTGACGTGGAACTCCTGTCCATGGAGTCATCCTACCGTGTGAGGACAAGATGGTTGAAGGCCTACACACTCATCAGAAACCCAGCATTGAGACAAAGCCAGGATTCTAGCCATGAAGACTGGCAATTACAGCATCTGAAAGCACAGTGACTTGAAGTACAGTTCCGAGTGCTGCTCTCTGTGCCTATATTTGTTTGTTTTTGAACTTCGTGCTTCACACATTACTCATGTGGGGAATCGAACCCGGGCCTTTGGCGTGACCAGGCTGCGGCAGAAGGCTACCCCACGCTCCGTTTTATTTTTGTTCATGACAGTCACAAGGGAATAATCTACATCGGGTAAAATATGAATATATATACATTACTATATATTAATAGCTTGTGTCGTTACGGGGCGGTCGGGTAGACTAGTGGTTAAAGCGTTCGCTCGTCACGCCGAAGACCCTGGTTCGAATCCCGACATGGGTACAATGTGTGAAGCCAATTTATGGTGTCCCCCGCCATGATTTTGCTGGAATATTACTAAAAGCGGCGTCATACCAAAAGACGTTAAAAGATGGTACTTGTCCAAAAGACGTTAAAAGATGGTACTAGTTGTTACCCTGTCTGGCGCTCGGCATTAAGGGGCTAAAACAAGGACTGGTCGGCTCGGAGTCAGTATACTGTGTCTGAGTGGGGTATTCATGTTAAATTGCGGCATGGTATCTCAGTGAGCTAGCACTATAAATCGGCATCAGTCCGGACTAGTACAAGCAGCCACACAAACACACACACGTACATGCACGTCGCTATATAAGTGCAATGATCTTGGACGCGACGTTAAACCCCATTTCACCTCACCTCACCGTTACATGCTGTTTTGGAACAGATGTCCAGCCAATTGGCTCCTGGTCCATTATTGGACAATAAAACTATGATCATTCAAAATTGATCAGATTTTGTTTTTGCGTCAGATGGTTGATGGAACCAGATTAACAAATGCTCTCCTCCTCAAAGCCAATGGGATTATCATTAATGTGAACCTCAGTCATACCATGAATCACAGAACATCACATACATGTAAACTCTGAAACGTATCGCAGACCTCATAAGAAAAGCTTCTCTTTATTTTGCTTGTACCATGTGTTCCCATGTTTGTTCAGATGAACAATTGACTTGCCTTTGCACGTGTTTGTGACGGGTGCCACTGGCGGTAGCAGTACGCTCACCTTTTCGCGAACACCTTCTATCACACTATGTGATCGTGATTCATAAACACATGATTATATGGTCGGAATCGTACAATGGGCTCTGATTTTAGAGATGTCTTATGATAATTGAAATGGTTATGTGACTTTTGTTTTTGTCCTGTGAGATACTTTAGATTTATGCAATTTCATTAAGTCTAAAATCTCATCGAAATAACGAAAGATACAGACAAGATACCACATACGAAAAGCTTCCCTTTATTTTGCTTGTACCATATGTTCCAATGTTTGTTCAGATTAACAATTGACTTGCCTTTGCACGTGTTTGTGACGGGTTCCACTGGGTGTGCAGCATACGCTCACCTTTTCGCAAACACCTTCTATCATCACTATGTGATCGTGATTCATGATTATGATATGGTCGGAATCGTACAATGGGCTCTGATTTTAGAGATGTCTTATGATAATTAAAATGGTTATGTGACTTTTGTTTTTGTCCTGTGAGATACTTTAGATTCATGCAATTTAATTAAGTCTAAAATCTCATCGAAGTAACGAAAGATACAAACATTGCAATTTTTATTAGCGGCAACATTGATTTAACATTGTACAGCATGGCCATTATTTGGCACCAACCGGTTCACGGGTTGTTGCTGACGTAGTCCCCGGTTCACGGGTTGTTGCTGACGTAGTCCCAGGTTCACTAGTTGTTGCTGACGTAGTCCCCGGTTCACGGGTTGTTGCTGACGTAGTCCCAGGTTCACCAGTTGTTGCTGACGTAGTCCCGGGTTCACCAGTTGTTGCTGACGTAGTCCCAGGTTCACCAGTTGTTGCTGACGTAGTCCCCGGTTCACGGGTTGTTGCTGACGTAGTCGAGGAAGGCCAATATCCCCGCCAGAGTCTCTTCTCCCGTGGGGATGATCTGGTCGGCCGGGAGGAGGAACCCGTACGTCCCCCTGTCCCGGAGCTCTAAAGCCACACTATATTTGATGACGGCTTTCTTGTACATATAGGCAATCGAGTCTCCTGTCACCTTCTCTGAAAGCAGTAATACAAACCGTTCTGTACTTTCTTTGTTCCGCCAAGCTGGCCAAGCATTCAAGATCATATTTGAATGCAATTGAAAGTTTAAGTACCGTATTCGACGTAATAAGCGCCCAGGGCGCTCTCAAAAGTAGAAACAGGGGGCTCTTATTAGAATATTATTTTGATGGAAAAAAACAGAAATGAAAGATAAATTCGTGGTTTATGCTGACGGTCTGAACTGTTTATATACGACAGATATATTTTTCAAGAATTTCATTGCCCATAATTAAGGTGCATATAACACTCGAGTGCGTATTATACACGAATAAATATGTCTTTTGCACATTGTTCAATCGGAAGGGATGCTAATTGGGATCGTTCACTTGCCAATATATTAGCAAATATCGCCGTGGGCGCTTATTAGAGCGGGGCGCTTATTACGTCGAACGCGGTATTATAGAGCAGCTGATGATTATCTTAATTGCACAGAGAAGTGAGGAAACCGCGTATAGCGCTATCCAATATCCCGCTAGTGACCGGGTTGTTATTCAGCCTACAGATATACAATGAAATGATTAAAAAATGACTTACAGTAAAGTACGTTTATAACGAACACGCTTATAACGAACTGACGGATATAACGAACTGACTTTTTGTCCCGACTATTTGCTATTGTTATACTGTATATATGCCTATAACGAACTACGGTTATAACAAACTAAAGTTAGTGGTCCCTTTGAGTTCGTTATAACCGTAGTTGACTGTATTTAGAAAAGGAGTAAACGAGGATCCAAAATGCCGATGTGGCAGCCCATGTGAAAATTCATATCATTGATATTATTGAATGTCCTTTATTTAAATCAGATAGAAACGAATTGATGCACTCACTATTGTTAATTGTGAAAGATATTTGTGATGTAAATATTGACCTGATGCTAGTTGGAAATGCAATTTTACCTGATCATGTGAACGAAAGCATTTTTAGAAATGTACATACATATATAAAGAAAACAAAAAGGTTTGAGTGAGAATAAAATATGTTTAAACTAAACAGACACACAATGTTTTCATGTCTTTAAGGTGTAGTCACTACTCCTGGTGTATAGTACATCCACCCTGTGCACTCAAAAGAACCCACGTATCCGTGGGTAGATGACCAGATGTTGAAGACACGAATACATTCATACATACAAGTGTCAAAACTTGTGGCGTCACCCTGTAGAAGAGACTCAATTCAAATGAGCCTCTATTCACCCAGCAGGGAATGGGTGCCTGATAACATGTGGGGTGGATGTAAGGCACCTTAGGGTGCATGTTCCCCAGGGAGCTGAGAATGATAACTGGAACATATAATCCACATCTGAGCAGATACTAGTAGCGAGATAAGTGAAATATGGAAATGGATGCCTACACCTCTTTTGATTCATAAATAATCATAAATAATTTTGTTGAATAACTAAGAATGTCCACGCCAGAAACCTATGATTGTGGGTTCGAATCCCGGTTCGACCCGATTATGTTTCTAGGTTTGTCAGCACCATACCCGTGCTCGTGGGTTTCACCGAAGTGGTAAAACGTCTGAGACCTGCATCACTTCGGGCTTTCCTCCCACATTCAGCTGACACGCCGCGATATAACTGGAATACTGTTAAAAGCGGCGTTAAACCCAACTCACTCACTCACTCACTCACTCACGACAAAGTAAGGCTTTTAAAGTTTTATGGTGGACATGTGGAGGACATTTCCAGATTTGACAAATCAAAAATGATGTCCGATGCAATTCCCTATTTTGATTTGTAGCATATGTTCCCGTGGTTTTTTTCAGGCGAACAATCGACTTGCCTTTGTATGTGTGACCGGATACGCTCCCCTTTTCGCGAACACCTGGTATCATCACTATTTGATAGTGATTCATAAACACATGCTCATGACATAGTCGGAATAGTACTGGGGGTACTCCTGGTAGAGATTACTTATGATTGTGGATTTTTTGTAGGTAGCCACTTCATGTTTGCTTACGAAGTAGGTGTACTCTACATTTCTCATTGTCCCTCATCCAATTAATGCTATGTAACAGGAATTGCTCACGTATAATCGAATAGACTGATCCATATATGAAGTTCGTTCCATGTACTGCAGTAATGGCTGCAGTTGCTGCTTGGGCAGAGGCTCTCTGTAAACATTTAGCAAATACAATCTTTAAAGGTGTTTCTCCACAAATTCATGTTTTATCTCGTTAAAATCCGGACAATCTTGACATCACTGAATTAATTCTTTGAATGGCATTTAGAAGTGATACACATAAGGAAAATAGCAATGGACAAATGGAAGTCAGCTGAACCATCAAGACCCATCAACGGGCCAATGGCAGAGGCACCAACAGCGCAAGTCCCAACTCCATCAGATGCAGATACCAGATCCCCTGCAACTGTGGTCACCAAAGCATTAGAGGATCCCTCAGCCCCCTCAACACAAGACTTAATCATCATCATGTATTCACGTTAGAGTAAAGGCGATCAGTGTATGACATGCAGCAATTTTCTTTTCACAAAATATAAGCATTGAAAATAATAATTCCCATATTTTGTATAGTATTCGAATTGTTCTCATATAATAACATGTTAAATTTATGTAAACTTTGGAATACATATATGATACCTTTTGGGGAATTGGCGCAAGATCTTTCAGTAAACACCTGTGACCAGGGAACCAATCTGCCTCGTGCTTGGGACTTATTGCTTTGATTCAATGGTCTGTGCTAATTATCTATCAGGTTTCCATTTGTCCATTGCTATTCAGTGCCCCCGTCTTAGCCAATTGCTTATTACCAATCAGTACTAAATTAACGCCCCGTGAAGATCCGGGTTAGAATAGGTCTACCTGTGCTTGCCGCGACTATGCTTGTAGGGGGCAACTAATGGGATCGGATGGTCAGGCTCGCTAACCTGGTTGATGCATGCCACCGTATCCCAATTGCGTGGATCGATGCACATGATGTCAATCACTGGATTGTCTGGTCCAGACTCAATTATTTACAGACCAGGGTCATATAGCTGAGAGCTGAGTATTGCTGAGTGCGACGGTAAACAACAAACAAACAAAACAGCTAATTTCACTCGTGGCTTCCACTTGTCTCTTGCTAATCACCTATCAGCGCTAATAAACTGTTGGCTTCCATTTGTCCATTGCTAGTCATCTATCAGCTCTAATTAACTTACTTATCTTATTACTTCTGTTATTCTATGTTATGTTATGTACATATTCGTATATACTCATCGACAAAAGAAACGTGAATACCATACATGTTGGTTAATACATGAAGAATTATTCATATTCAAGAGATATTAGATTGGTTCGATGCATAAACGAACATACTGTTATGTGGTGTGAACCGACGCTCATGAACGTATCATATGTGACGTCATAGATCCATGACTCGCGATGCACTATTTGTCTCGTGCATCATTAGCGTGTGCATTTTGGAAATAACGTTCAGCATATCGTGATAAGAATAAAGACACTGTGGTAACACTTGACTGATCGTTATTTTGGTCTTTTAATGGTACACATTGGAAACTTCTCTTCTTAACGTAAATACTTCTCAAAATGTTTCCATGGTTGCGTTTCTTTTAGCGTCGAGTATATATGCTCCCATTCACCTAGCATTCATTCAGTTGATGAAGAAGTAACCCTCTACTCCGAAACGATGTGTTCCGCACAATGAAGAGGTTGGCATCCATAAATTCTCTTTCATCATTGAATAATATCACTTTTTACCGTCAATAACACATTTTATTGATCGCCAAAATCCTTCACACAGCTTGTTTCAAATGAGCCTCCAGATGATGATATTTATGTTTGTAACTTTCAAGAGTGAGTGAGTGAGTGAGTTGGGTTTAACTCGGCTTTCAACAATATTGTAATTATATCACAGTCTGTCAGCTTAGCCCGAAATAATGCAGATCTCAGACGTTTACCACCTCGGTGAAACCCACGAGAAAGGGTATGGTGCTGACAGATCCAGAAACATGATAGGAACCAACCGGGATTCGAACCCAAAATAATAGCTTTCTAGTGTGCCCAAGGGACGCAACAGTGCACAGCAAATAAGAGCGCCTTAGACCTCCCGGCCACCCGTGCCCCCGTAACTTCCAAGAAACACCAAAAAGAAATGATGACATCAGACCCAGCATAACCCTGTGTCAAGTCTATTCAGAAAGTGTTCCTTATTCTAACAAAGCCAATAACGCTTCATCGCGACACATCATCTAACTACAGAAATACAAATACATAAAACTACTTACGAAATCCATGTCGTCAATTGTGCGGCCGCCTCTATACCCGAGCGGGTACAACAACAGTTGGCCGTAGCTGTGGATGTCGACGAAGGCCACCCTGTTGCCAATGCTCTTCACAAAGTTCGTCATGGCCCTAGTCTCAAGCTCAGAGAAACCACGACTCCCCTTGTATGTAACGGAACATGGGTCAGGGCTTGCGCCGTTCTTTGCTATGGAAACATAACAGAATTACATACTTCACTCGGACAAAACCAATAGGTGTTTTCGTATTTAATAAAAGGTACAAAACCATTTCCATAATCATAAAGTAGGAAGGTCGTTTTGTTATATAATACTTGCATTTTTTAAAAACAACGGTCATTTAACTTGCCTTTGCATGTGTTTGTGACGGGTGCCACTAGTGGGGCAGGATACGCTAACCTTTTCGCGAACACCTGGGCCCACTTGCACAAAGCGATCTTAGCGCTAAGATGATCGTAACGCCCATACTTTAACATAGGCTTACAACAGTCTTAGCGCTAAGATCGCTTTGTGCAAGTGGGCAATGGTATCATCACTGTTTGATAGCGATTTATAAACACAGGCTCATGATATAGTTGGAATCGTAAAGACGACAATTTTTTCAGCAGGGATTGCTTATGAATATCGGAAGGGTTTTAGTGCTTTTAATCAAATAGTGTTACATAATGAATGATTTATCTACAGCTGTAAAGTGAAGCGCCACAAATTTACGCCTGTGGCATAAAATTCAGACTAGCCATAGTGCAACTCGAGATATACGGAACACAAAGGTTTAGGGCCAGGAATCCAGACAGCGGAAACACCAGAAGCATATTTGAAGAGCTTAGAGCCGTCTGTTTTGAGAAAAGTGATGAAAACACATAATATTATGCATGTTAATGAACTTTTTTTTAGATATAAATGTTGTTATAAAAAACATTCAAAAAAGGAAATAAACTTCTGTTTTTAATTTGTGTGAGGGTGGAAAGGGCCAGTGTCAGGCCCTCAGGCATTTGCATGAGATTTACCATGTGAGATTGAGAAACTACTACTAAAAGTACAAACACATGCTATTGAAGTACGTTTAAATGATTTAAACTAATGCCAACTTTGTTGAAATAGTTGAAATATGATAATAAGGTTCCAAACTTTCAAAATCTCTCTCAGACAACCAGTCTCAACCACACACGTAAATGAGAGCTAAAAGGGCCAAAATCTAACAAAGTGACTTAGGCCCTTTTGAAACTTGACTTTGGCCCTTTTATAGAATTTTAAGTAGCTATATTTCAAAAACGCATAAATGAAAACATACAATATTTTTAGACAAGAACTCGTAGATGTTATTTATGCAATAATATGCAAAAAGGGTCAAAGTGAATTTTGGCCTCTTTAAGCTCTAAGCTCTTCATTTTTATTTCAACAGAATATTGTAAACAAGACAGCGCTTATTCTAATCCCTCTTCCTACATAGAAACCAAGTTACAGATACAGAAGATAGTCAAGGTGTACACATAATATTTAAACACAAAAAAACCCTGGTGGTCAGATATCAAGCGTGATCAGCCGTGTCCGGTTTGGATAGTCAGAATGACTGGACTAAGTACTACATAATGTACACAAGAAACATATATAACAAATGTTAGGGTGTTGTGTATTAATTTAGTTATAAATCGACTTGAATTTGTAATAAAAGTATGGACAGATAGAAGAATTTTTTTATTTGTTTCAGATGATAGGCCTTCACATCCGTAAAGTTCTGTAATAATATCATATCTTTTTATGTAATATAATAAATTGCGGCTAATTCGATCATAATTGGAACAAACGAAGAAGCAGTGTAGCGGGTCTTCATAGTAGTGGCCACAAGGACAACATGGGCTGTCAGTGGAACGCTACTGTCTGCATACACAGGGTTTCAATGCGCATGCAAACATTCATAAACTACACTGCCGTTCAAAAGAAATTATACACTTGAAAATTGAATTCGACCTAGAATTACAAACGTGATCAAACAGTTATATAAGTACTTGGCTAAACATGGCCGAACCACTGCAAACTTAATCTTCAAAACATAACTGTCATACCCGTATCATATACATCCCCATCGAATAACCATTTCTTGTTAATTTCATTTTTAGCCACCATCAAACATGGGCTTCACTGTACATAACATTCATTGAATAAACTGCCGGTTCTAAGAAAGTATACACTTGAAATTGGATTTTACTAGAATTACAAACATCAAAAAGTTACTTGACGAAAATAGTCGCTGAAGCACTGCAATAAATTGAATGACGTAACGGTTGCTACTATTACCTGCCCAGCGTATTCTGAAGTTCCGATTGAGGTCAGTTCCAATGCACCCTGAACGAATTTCTTTAGCGGATCTTGGATCGTCCCTATTCTTTCTCCAAAGCCGTGTCTGGAAATAAAAGCGACAGAATCCTTTCCATATCGATAAGAAATCTCTGCCAAAAGCGGAGTCGATTAAAGATTCCGACCATGTCCTGAGAATGTGTTCATGAAAATCACTATGATGATAGCAGGTGAATCCGAAAAGGTGAGCTTATCCTACCCAACCAGTGGCACCCCTCAAACACATGCAAAGGCAAGGCTATTGTTCACCTGATAAACACAAGTCAAAATAGGGAATTGCATCCGACATATGTTTTGTAACTGATGTGTCAAATCTGAATAAAATCTGACTTGTTTAAGCAGTCCTGTGCCATTATCAAACATTATCAAAATTAATATTATTATCAATACCAAAATTTGATCATCTCTTAACAATTTAAATTTTGATTGATTTAAACAGGAATCCTCAAGATGAATATTTTTCCACCAAAAGAACTTCGAGTTCCCGTCCGGGGACTGGTGATCATGTTTTCAATTACTTGTTTGCCTGGCCCACACACGATTAATTACAAGCTGCCGAGACATACCTCGAACAATCACTGCAGAGTGGAACAACATTCATCCATTCATTCGGAGCCACCGGAGGGATGGACATAAGGCACAATGTCACTCTGAATTTGCATCAGTTACGAGTGGTACTTGCACAATTTGACTCACGTTAGAAGACAGCCAGCTGTAGATGTATCCGTCGACGTTAACAACGGGGATGATGTAGATGTCGAACTCGTCCAGGATAGCTGTCACATCAGCATCCGTACCGTACTGCTGCAGAAGCTGAGGCAAGGAGAACAAACGTTGTGTTTTTTACACACAGCACCAAAAGGAGTGGTTTCGTCAGTTAGGAATCCACCAGACGCAAATCACCCAATTTCGTGCTGTGGTAGATAACCAAACATGTCACATGATCAGTCACTGTTGACACTGTCTGACAACTTGACCAATGAAGAAACGATCATGTTTAGGTCATGAGGTCAATTAGGCTTATTTATCCACTCACGACAGAAACGACGTGGCTTAGTAGAATATTTTCTATAGAACACTTGTTGAGGAGAATAATGGTTTGAGGTGGGTAGTATCGAATTTGTGATAAGTTCACTATCAGCCGTAAAACTTCAAAAATATTGGTTGTTTGGTTGGTTGTTTAACGCCGCACTCAGCAATATTCCAGCTATATGACGGCGGTCTGTAAATAATCGAGCCTGGAAGAGACAATCCAGTGATTAAAATCATGAGCATCCATGCAATTGGGATCGATGACATGAATCAACCAAGTCAGCGAGCCTGACCATCTGATCCCGTTAGTTGCCTTTTACGACAAGCATAGTCACCTTTTACGGCAAACATGGGTTGCTGAAGACCCATTCTCCCCCGGAATCTTCACGGGTCACTTCGAAAAGGTAGCCATAGTGGTGAGAGTTACAGGTAAAGTGCGGTTATGAGATGTTGATAATTTAGGACGATAAGTGTTTGCTTAATTATATGACTTGTGTATGTAAAATAGTTTCAATAAAAGCTACAATGAATAAATATTGGCAAATTGAGGCAAATATCCCACAATGATAGTATTTTTTTCACAACAAGATATCTTTATTATTTACAATGGTTTTAGGAATGTGGATAATTGGTCACTGAAAATACACTTCTTTAATTGTTTGTTTGTTTGTTGTTTAACACCGCACTCGGCAACATTCCAGCTATTTGACGACGGTATGTAAATCAACCAAGTCAGCGAGCCTGACCACCCGATCCTGTCAGTCGCCTTTTACGACAAGCATCGGTTGCTGAAGACCAATTCTACCTTGAAATTTAACGGGCCAATCAATCGGTAAAAGGTGCGTAGTTGTGGGAAGATTATAATGTCGATATCAATTGGTAAAAGGTACATAGTTGTAAGCAGTAGTGTACATACTGCTGATATCCGTCGGTAAAAAGTACATAGTTGTGAGCAGTAGTGTATGTACTGCTTATGTCAGTCGGTAAAAGGTACATAGTTTGAGCAGTAGTGTGCATACTGCCGATATCAATCCGTTAAAAGGTGCTTAGTTGTGAGAAGTACTGTATATACTACCGATATCAATCGGTAGGGGGGCGGTCGGGTAGCCTAGTGGTTAAAGCTTTCACTCGTCACGCCAAAGACCTGGGTTCGATTCCCGACATGGGTACAATGTGTGAAGCCCATTTCTGGTGTCCCCCGACGTGATATTGCTGGAATATTGCTAAAACCATACTCACTCACTCACTCACTCACTCAATCGGTAGGGGGTACATATCTGTGAGCAGTACTGTATATACTGCTGATATCAATCGGTAATAGGTATATATTTGTGAGCAGTACCGTATATACTGCCGATATCAATCGTTAGGAGGTACATATTTGTGAGCAGTACTGTATATACTGCTGATATCAATCTACCTCGTTGGTCATCCAGAGGACGCTGGCTGGGGACACCCACTCCCTGGCATGTAGGGCACTTTCGATAAAAACAGCCGGTCTGTTTGCATCAGATGAAACGGATACCTGCAGAAAGAGTGAATAGGTGAATGAGATAATGGTTGCGATGACATGCGGGTCTTGGGCGGTTTTAAACTGCTTTTCATCTTGGGGATGTAGCTGTGATTATTATGTATAAACATACGGGGATTCGTGATATCGTACCTTGAGAGCTTTAATGTCATTCCCATCGTTTGTTGATCCAATATCCATAATCGTGACGTAGCTGGAATAGACAGCCTGGGTGTCTGACATCCACTGGTAGATCTGCAGAAAGGACGCCCATATTTACAGCCAAATACAACACATTTCACTTGTCTTTTCAGGAAACGTAATCAAGTAAAAAATTAACACGACAATGCCTGTTAGTTTGGTTTATCGTCGCTGTGAATAATATCCAAGTTATATCACAGCGTGTCAGATTGATGTGAGGGGGAAGGCTCGAAGTGATGCAGGTCTCAGACGTTTACCACTTCAAATAAGAAGAGGAAGAAGAAGAAGAAAGGCCTGATGATGTGTGCCTCCCTGGGGCCAGATGATGCACGGCTCCACGTGGTGGGCCGAGATTGGGAGGATTTATTCCCTTGAACAAAACGTACGTCATCCAGTTATTGCTGAACGCCTGAAACTAGTTCAAAACTTGGTTACAGAACGACAAGAAGAAACTCCGCAGCCCAGTCAACCTCTCTCCGGTATACAAACAAACCAATCTGGAGATGGGACTTGTCCCTTTGGGAGGCACAGAACCCGTTGAAGAATATTTTGGACGCACCAACTGAAGTCCACACTTCTTGAGTGTGCGAAAGCAACAGGGTGGCCAGAACTACCACGAGTAAATGGCAAATTATTGAAGCAGCATTATGACAAAGCCATGGTTTGGACAGAAAGAAAAAGAAAGTGGGATAATTTCATGAAACAAAAAAACTCTAATGACAAACAGTTTTAAAGGCAATTAAACGTAACGTCAAAAATGAGAAAAGACCCATCATGGATTCCAGTGAAAGGTATTGGAAACAAACAAAAACCCGGCAACTGCAACCTCGAGAATCCATAGGTAGAGATTAAAATAATTATGTACATGACAAAATAAAGTCACTATTGTGTTTTTTTGCACCCGACTGCCTGAAAAGGGTAATTAAAAAGTCCAAACTTAATACGTCGCCATGGCCTGTTAGTATTCGAAACCGGTTTTGGAAACTGTACCTGTGTGTCCAACGCCATTTATTCACTGTTCACCTAACTTCTCTTGTGGATACAGGGGATGTTCGGACTTGATTGTGCAAAGGAATGTTGCGGTTGTAAGGATCAATTGGTAGTTCAGAAAATGATCCTTGAAGAGATAAAACCTACCACCGTGACCCTTCTATGTGTGGGGAGGAGTTATTGACCATCTCTTGGAAGGTTAGGCCTAAGCCTCCTCAGGGGATGCAGGTGTTAGGGACAAACTCCAGAAAGGCCCATATGAAGGGGCAACTTCGGGCAAAGTGCAAATGTAGCCTTAAGGGAAAAACTGGAGTTCAGAGCTGAACTCTCGCAATCAAGTCAATGCCACAAATACTTATGCTGTGCACGTCCTTTCGTATTCGTTTGGTGTCGTTAAAGGACACAACAAGAAATTCAGGGTATTGACATCCTCACACAATGAATCGTGTAACACAATAGATCCCACCACCCTTGCTCTTCTCTCAATCGCTTACATTATATTGGGAGAGCGTGGTTTGATTAACGTGGAGGCTTTCGTGATATAATTGTTTTGTGCACTTTTGAATACACAAAAATTGTCTGATGATCCTCTAGTGAAGCATGTCAAGCCGTTCCACAGTTTCTTCAAACAAGCCAAGGATGTGGGACATAATCTCAGTGACAACGTGTATGGTTCTGCGCGGCTGGACATTACAGAATAATGAGTGTCAACCACACGTAGTGCCATATAAAATCGGCCCATATTCAAGTTTTTCAAGGAGAGGCTATCTAAACGGCCACTGCATCGCGTTCATATGCAGTGTGTTGAGAAGGTTAGCAACCCTGCAGAGTCATCCCCTTGGTGAAATCTGCTGGCATGAAAAAAGAATCAAAAGTCTTTCTGATTGCTTCTCAGGACCGTCACTTCCCACTGTGTTATTTTGCATCAAAATGTAAATATGAAATGTAGATTATGCAATGAATATAATGAGACTGTCCAACACATTGTCAGTGGATGCCCAACTTTGGAACAAACACATTGCCAGTGGATGCCCAGCTTTGGCACTAACACAGTATCTTAAGTGACATGATGGTGTAGCTCGATCATTTTATTACCGTTTTCGCCATGCTGGTGGTTTTGATAGTAAGGTCCATCTATGGTATGACCCAGAATATGTAGAGGGCGTCATGGAAAATGATAAATACAAAATTCTTTGGAATAGGCCCGTACACAGCCTCAGACCTATTCAGACCAACAAGCCTGCAAGGACCCTTAGCTGATAATGAGCCTAACCAGCCTGATTGTGCCAGGATCACCCAAACCCTCTTTGCTGATTTCTTTTTATTTTAATCTGTACATAATAATCCGTTTGTAAATGGCATAACGCCCATAAGAAATGTATAGTCAAAGCGCCAAACTAGTTTTACTCTGGTCAGTGGATAAGTGTGCACTTGATTTTCATTCTTATCACTTAGTATTTCGCTCCCACATTAAACTGACACGTCGTGACAAAGCTGAAATAACGATGTGTTGACAATAATTGCATGGTCCTACCTCAGACATGGGATGATACACTGCGTAGTTGAAGGTCGTTGCAGAACTTTGAAGACGTGCCTGTTCGTTCGAGATGAGTGATATCTGGACGGCCTTCTCAACATCCGGGATCTGGACGGTGTAGGTCAAAGCGAGGCTGTCCATCATGGCGTCCATGTCAGGTGGTAACATGAAGTCGAGGGACGAATTAGGTCCGGAACTGGACCGCCATACGTCGATCTGAAGTAAACAAACTAGGTTTTGGTTTCTTATATTCATATTTACAAAGAGCATGGCTGTTTAAACGGTAACGTAATCAAAGGAATTACACATATTAGTGATTCAAGGTGTTCTTCAACAGACACTGTTAATTTACTCAAGCCATTTGCTCGCGCAATTACATTTCTTCCTGATATCAAAATCACTCGCATTCTATTAATGGTCAAAGAGCTTTTATTCCATTACACATCAAATTGACAGCCAACTTCTGATGATGAAATTTGAAAACTTTCTTTCGATAGATGATTATACACCAACAGAACCACGTACTTAACATCTTCTGACAAATACATATATAATATATATATATATATAACCCTACCCCGTTATTTTCGAGCATTTCTTGGAACTCTCTGGCGATATGAAACTCTTGTATGTCCTTAGGGGTGATTCGCAACAGCTGATGACTTAAAAAGAGATATTTACAATGAAATATGGGATTCAACTTTTTTCAGGTGAACATTTGACTTGCCTTTGAATGTGTTTGTGACGGATGCCACCGCAGGGGCAGGATAAGCACACCTTTTCGATAACACCTCGTGTCATCACTCTTTGATGGTGATTTTCGAAAATACATGCTCATGATGTAGTCGGAGTCGTACAATCAACGCTGCATTTGGCAGACATGTCTTATGAATATAGAAAGGACTTTGTCACTTTCATGTTCTTAGATTGATGTTGTTTATCAGAGTAAAGGGACCACCATGGTACAGTTTCAAAGGATGCAAAACCTTTTGCTTACAGAGGGCACAGATGAAGTTGCAGTCTAATATACAGCATGATGACAACCACTATAATTTAACAATAATAAAAAGGAGTATAGTAAATACAGCGTAGAGCACACAGATAATAAAAAAATGCCACGTATACTTTGTATCCTTGAAAAAATTACGTGTCTCTCTCTCCTTTCAGCCAAGACACATGGAGATCCGGGATAGAATAGGTCTTCAGCAACCCGTGCTTGCCGTAACAGGCGACTATGCTTGTCGTAAGAGGCGACTAACGGGATCGGGTGGTCAGGCTCGCTGACTTGGTTGAAGCATGTCATCGATCCCAATTGCGTGGATCGATGCACATGATATCAATCATTGGATTGTCTGGTCCCGATCCGATTATTTACAGACCGCCGTCATATAACAACAAACAAACACACATGTTAATCATACCCGGCATATCCATAGTGTTCAGCAGTTGCCAGACTTGTGACGAACAACAGCAAAATCACCTTCATGCTTGTCGTGAATAGGCCTCTGGTTGTATGGTACAGGTTTACCTTTGACTACCACTGGTAGTTATGAAAAAGCCATGTGACGTAGAGATATGAAAACATGCCGTGTCGTGATTATTATGAAAAACAGCTGTGAGATGTTTATTACGATAAACAGCTGGATATGTTCAATATCATAACTAATTAGAATTTTTAAACAAACAATGAACAATTTTGCAGATGCGTGACCACATGGCATTTAATTTAAAAAAATAAACAAACTCATTTTAAACGCCCGGGCATGCAGGGATTCGCATCCTCCTCCTCATCATCATCACCTTTTGGGGCTTAACATACACATCTCCCATGTGTCGCTTTTGAAGTCTGGTGGAAGTCACAGACATTGAATCTCTTTAAATCAACGTAGGAGTTTCTTTATTGGAGGAATATAATTATTCATATTTTATGTTTATGGTCTTTGTTGTTTCGAGACCGCCTCCGTGGTCTTGTGGTAGAGCGTCCGCCCGGAGAGCGGAAGGTCCAGGGTTCGATCCCGGGCCGCGTCATACAAAAAGACGTTAAAAGATTGTACTTGTTGTTACCCTGTCTGGCGCTCGGCATTAAGGGGCTCAAACAAGGACTGGTCGGCTCGGAGTCAGTATACTGTGTCTGAGTTGGGTATTCATGTTAAACTGCGGCATGGTATCTCAGTGAGCTAGCACTATAAATCGGCATCAGTCCGGACTAGTATAAGCAGCCACACACACACATACACGTGCATGCACGTCGCTATATAAGTGCAATAATCTTGGACGCGACGTTAAACCCAATTTCACCTCACCACCTCACCTTTGTTGTTTCGTTTATTTTAAGCATACCTGTCCAATATAGGTCACCAGGCTTCATTTGGCTGCTGAGGTTGGAGGTAACCCATGGACATCCTGTACTGTTCGTAGTCTGCCCTCTACTGGTCAATGATCAGCAACATTGTTCATTATTTTACGCCATTCAACTGAAGAAGTTGCATATTATGTGGCCGTATTTGTATGTTGTCGAAATATGGGAATTCTAAACGCCAACATCAGAGACGTCTCGAATAAAGATTTCATAGGGCGTATCAGGCAATATGGTGATGAACATTAAATGACTTGGAATGGTGACACCAGGTGTTCAGGAAAATGGTCACCATGACTGTCCTGCTGTACCGGTGGCACCCTCCACTCACGTAAGTGGGTGGGAATGCGTTTGTGTGATTGTGTTTGTGTGTGCGTGCGTGCGAGCGTGTCTGCTTGTGTAGTAGCCAGGACTTATGCCGGTTGTAAAGTGCTAGCCCACAGAGATACATGTACATCCCGCGGTTTGACATGGATACTCAACTCGGACACGGTATACTGACTCCGTCTGGACCTTGTTTCATCTCCTTCACGCCAAGCGCGAGGTACGGTAACAACTTTTGTTTTATTTTAACGTCTCTTGATATGACGTTGCTGAGAATCGAACCCCGAGACCTTTAGCTCTCCGGGCAGACACTAGACCACGGAGGCGGTCCAGTCCTATGTAACAGGGTGCAATATGAAGGTGCTTCACGCGCTGCAACAATGTTGCCAATAGAATCTTCTGTCAAAGATTAAACCTTTACACTACTGCCATTACCATATACGACAGACGCTTATAGTGTTATTGGTATTGTTGGTATGACTTCAATATTTCGTAAAAATATTTTGCTCCTAAACAGTATTGTTATATCTTTGTTTTCAAACAGAAACAGTGTCCAAGCCAAGCTTTACGTAGATCCCGTGCACCATCCAGATGGCATTATATTTCCACATTAATAAAAGTTAACTAAAACTTCGTAGCCATACACTTCAATGACAAGGAAAGAAAGTGATTCCTTCCATATAACAGATGGTTGAACTAGTAACTGTGTTGAAAAATTTCACATAGAGCGGTGGGTCAAATATTGTTCATATATATATATATATATATCTTTGGTCACGGACGTACTCATCGATGATTTTTCTCGAGAAGTTGAAATACTCCGTGACCATCAGTTATTTGAGCTACCGTTCTGTATTTGACAATGGAAAAGTTCACAACTAATACCAATACTCATATGAACATTTCCGGAAATGAATGTCCCTTATATCATGGCAATATATTGTTAATTTGCCATTACAAGTGTGACAAGGAGTCCCACATGTGCTATCATTACATGTTCCCTTCTACCAAATCGAACACTGATTAGTGCTAATGGTTGGGTTAGGTTACATTATTATAGTTATTTCATTGCAATGTATTTGATGGGATAAATATTCACCGGGGAGAAACAACTGTATCCGCGTTTGGGATTCGTGGTAGACTAGGGAACCTCGCCTGGCACCCAGGGCACGCAATTGACTTGCCTTTGCATGACGGGTGCCGCCGGTGGGGCAGGGCACGCTCGTTATTTTGCGAAGACCTGGTAACATCACAAACACATGCAAAGGCTAGCCAATTGTTTAACCATGAGATGTTATGGCACAAGTCGAAATAGGGAATTGCATGAGGCATTATATTTGTCATTGATCTGTCAAATTTAGAAATTTCCACATGTCTGATAATAAAGCGTCTTTGAATTTTTAACTGAAGCCTTAAATTGTCGTAACCACGATCAAACAAATTTTGTGCAAGAGTCGTATGGCGCTGTTGATCTGGTCGAATCTTGATTATTGACTGACCATGGTGATATAACTAAATAATACCTAGTATTCACCCTCATGTACAGTACTTTTCATGAGGTTACTCCGGTTTTGAAAACATATATGAAAAGGTCTCGAGATTAATCATAAAAATAAACTAAGAAACAAGTTATGTAATCTGCAGATTTTTAATCCATGGTAGCTAACTGTTCCAATCTTCAGGATAGGATGAGTTAGGTTCCCGTTGTGGTCCATATGTGCTGGTGTGGTGTGTTAGACACCTGAAAGAAATTATATCAATGTTGAAAATACACAAAACACGTTACGGGTCAAACAGTTGCCTACATAAGAAAGCGAAAAGCGAAACTCAGTCATATCTGAACTTGATGACGTCACATTTAAGACTTTTGTTTTCAGTAACGGAATAACATTCCGGCCATAACACGCCAAAGGTCACCAGGAATGGGTTCGACACATTGTTCCCCTGTTGGTTTTTCATGAAGGTTAACACGTTACTTTAACTTTGACAATCATATTGAATCTTGCAGAAAATGCATATACTGATGGACATATTTGGTTGGTTTGTTGTTTAACGCCGCACTCAGCAATATTCCAGCTATATGACGGCGGTCTGTAAATAATCGAGTCTGGACCAGACAATCCAGTGATTAATATCATGAGCATCGATCCACGCAATTGGGATCGATGACATGCATCAACCAAGTCAGCGAGCCTGACAACCCGATCCCGTTAGTCGCCTTTTACGACAAGCATAGTCACCTTTTACGGCAAGCATGGGTTGCTGAAGACCTATTCTACCCCGGAATCTTCACGGGTCGATGGACATATTTAATTAAATTTCCTGTTATGAAATGAGAAGACAGTTACCGAAAGTGTCTGCCTCTTTCTTGACATGATCTTCCATTGTTTCATCAAGATCTCTCTTGAGCTCTGTTAATCAAAACACATGGGCCAATGTACCGTTGGTTGGTTGGTTGGTTTGTTGTTTAACGCCGCACTCAGCAATATTCCAGCTATATGACGGCGGTCTGTAAATAATCGAGTCTGGACCAGACAATCCAGTGATTAATATCATGAGCATCGATCCACGCAATTGGGATCGATGACATGCATCAACCAAGTTAGCGAGCCTGACCACCCGATCCCGTTAGTCGCCTTTTACGACAAGCATAGGTTGCTGAAGACCTATTCTACCCCGGATCTTCACGGGTCGCCAATGTACCACTATAAACTTAATGGATATATACCCTTCATAATAATGAGCATTTTTTAAGATTAAACAAATAGACTGAGGAGGAAGAGAAACTAAACGTCAGTAGATTTTATCATATGCTTGATTTTCAAATGAAAGTATCATAAGTAAGCTCTATTATATCCCCAAAATGAACCGTTAATGCGCTTCGTCAGAACTCAGAGAAAACTTGGTTTTACTTTTTAAAATATATTTTGATTTAAAACGTTTAAATCTTTGAAAATCAATACATTTCATTTTTAGGCACAGATTTGTAAAATTTCAAATTCA